CAAACCCATACAGAAGGCACATGCAGCTGATGGAGCAAGTGCAGAGGAGGCCACAAAGATGCTCTAAGGGCTGGAGCACCTCTGCTACGGAAACAGGCTGAGAGAGCTGGGCTTGTTCAGCCTGGAGAAGGGAAGGCTCCGGGGACACCTTAGAGCAGCTTCCCGTGCCTAAAAGGGCCAGCAAGAAAGCTGGAGAGGGGCTTTTGACAAGGGCAGGAAGGGACAGGGCAAGGGGGAATGGCTTTAAACTGACAGAGGGGAGACTGAGATGAGATGTGAGGAAGAAGTTCTTCCCTTTGAGGGTGGTGAGGCCCTGGCACAGGTTGCACAGAGAAGCTGTGGCTGCCCCATCCCTGGCAGTGTTCAAGGCCAGGCTGGACAGGGCTTGGAGCAACCTGGTCTAGTGGAAGGTGTCCCTGCCCGTGGCAGGAGATTGGAACTGCAGGAACTTTAAGTTCATCCAAACCATCAGACCCAGCAGTCTTTCTGGTTTTCCATTCCACATTAAAGTTCTCCCACCTTCTCTCTCTGCAGCTGTAGAGGAACAAGGCTCGAAAATGGCCGTTGCAGGGAGAGAATGTGCTGGGGGCTCTGCCCTTCCAGCTGTGGCTGCTTGGCTGATGTGGCTCTGCCTCTGTGACACGGAATCTCTTGAATCAAACATGCCAGCTCCCTGTGCAGGTCAAGGAGTTTGTCTTTCGATACCAGCTGCAGCACCGCAGGGCGCACAGAGGTGGTGGATCCATGTGTGTCTGCCTGATGCTGCCAGCATCCTTCCCCAAGCTGCTCGTGCAATCCTAAACATAGCTCCTCTTCTGAGGACTCTGAATTAGAGCAATTTTCAGATCATCGCGGTGTCGGGAGCAGTTTGGGGTGTGACTGATGTGTGGTGGGTGAGTTTGTTCCCTGCTTCAGGCTGAAGGCAGCGGGGGAGCTGGGCCTGCAGGAGCACAGGGGATGCTGAAGGTTCGGTTTAAGTCTCACAGCTGCAGCAGCCAGCGGCTTCCTCCAGCTCTCGGTGTCGCATCAGCGCTCGTCACCTTGGAGCCGTGTCCTGGGAGGTGCCAGCCCCAATCAAGGGCAAAGCTGTCCCACTACAGCCCCGCCTGCCTGGGCTGAGATTGACCTTGGGCTCAGGCTCACCGTGGAGGATGCTTTGAGAGAGGAAACAGCTCGTGTGTCCAGGGTGAGCAGTGCCTGAGCTGGGGCAGGAACCACCAGCCTCAGTCCTGTCTGTTCAGTTCAACATTTCCTGAAGTTGTGATTTCTTTGTGCCTTTCCAATACTTGTTACTTTAAGGAAAATCCGGAAAAGGGTGGTTTGAATGTCTCCCATACCTGGATGAGGATGGAGGATTTCAGGCAGCAGCCTGGGGAGAGATAATGGGGGAAAGAAAAGCTGGTGAAGAAGTGCTGGCCAAAGCCTATCCTGCCACCACCATCGACCCCTGTTATCCTGCCTGGGTTCTGGTCGATGGGGACAATGACATATGGGACAAAGCTGATTCCCCCTGTTCAGCCGATGCAAAGGAGCTCAGTCTGTGCCTCCTCCAGCCTGCCTGTGTGTCCCCGTGGGGTCCCTGACCGTAATCAGACCTGTCATCTGCACCCAGCTGGGTGCTGGAGCAGATCCCTTGACTGGAGGAATGTGCTGGTGTGTGGCTGGCCCATGGCTGCCAGTGCACTCTGGGAGCTGCCCATCAGGATGAGCCGGGATGCAGGGCTGAGCCGAGTGCTCCCCACGGTGCAGGCAGCATGAAGCAGAGCAGGGCTGGGGGGGGGGGCAAAGCCCCTCCATGGGTTTTTGGGGACCACAGTATAGTGCAAGACTCCATGAGCAGCGCTTTGCTGGGCAGAGAAGGGATTTGGAGTGAGATCAGCTCCCAGGACAGACAGAGGGACAGAGCTCACACTGATTTGCTCTGGAAATGCCCCAGTCAGACCGTCCGTGTGGCTGTGTTTCATAATCTTTTAATTCTCCTTCAATGTTTTCAGTAACTCCCCCAGGAAAACATGCACTTGGCGGCAGCAGCCTGTGAGGAGGGAGCTGCTGCTCGGTTTCTCGTGTAAAACTGAAACAAACACAGTCTCTGCCTGTCTCTGTCCTGCAGCCCCTCACCCAAGCCTCTGTTGCTGTTCCTGCCTCTGCCAAAGACAAATCTGAGACAAGTCTGTAGGAAACGTGGTGGAATCAGAATCACGAGATGGCTCTGGATCCCGTGCTGCGCTCTGCTGCCTTGTCTGCTCCTGAATTTAAGCACAGTGATGGAGCCTGATACATTAAGGCTGTGCCACGCTTCACCCACTGCATGTCCTGGGGGTGCAGGAGGCTCCAAAATTCACCCCCCAGCTGGATGATACTGGCTGGCTGGCTCGTATCATCCAGCACGTCCCTGCCTGGAGCACAGCATCCACCCTGGTCCTCCCCTCTCTGTTGCTGCAGCTGAGCTCTGCCCACAAGAGGGGGGCAAGACCCTTGGTTCCCCCTTGCCCACCTTGGTTTACTGATGGGGCCTAATACAGAGCCATGGATGGGTGCGGAGCCTGCACCAGGGGGAGGCTCTTCCCATGTGAACATGGTCTGCATGGAAATGTGATGGGCTCCATCCTCCAGAACTGGGGGGAAACAGCCTCTAACAGAGGCTGGGGGTGCCAACATCCCCTTATCACCCATGGGATCCCGGGCAAGGTCCCTCCTCCCTGCGGCACTCAGCACACTGGGGTGATGGGACCCCAGCATGGGCCGCCCCAAGGGCTGGTGCAGCCTCCAGTTATGGGGATGTCCAAGACCCAAACAGATGTGGTCCTGGGCAACTTGCTCCAGGCTTGAGCTGGGCTTGGCCCATATGGTCTCAGGGCTTCCGCCAACCCCACAAGCTTCCTGCCCCCAGGAATTACCATGGGCACTGGAACCTTCCGTGGGCTTGAGAAGCTCTTGAGCATAAACACCTTGAGCCATCGCTGCGGCGTGCTGGCACTCTTCACAGGGAAGGGTTGGGTGCAGGATGGGTGCTGCTGCCCTTCCCAGCCTCCACCTCCCTGCCCCATGTGGCTTCCTCAGCACCATCCCATCCCCAGGATCCCACCCTTGGTCTCTTGCTGTGATGGCACAGACACAGTGGGGGGACCCCCATCCCTGGGCAGCACATGGGACCCCGATGCCTCTTCCTGACCCTTTTCCCCGGCTGTCAAGGCTGTGTCCCCCCATCCATCCCAGCGGCCCCTCGGCTGGTCCCCTTGGAAACGCATCCAGGGGCGGAAGCACGGGGAATATTAAGCAGGTGCAGCCCCTTCAATCCCCCTTTGAGAGGGGACAGAGCAGCGCTTGTTCCCAGCGCAGGGAGCTTGGCCAGGCACGGCTGCTGATGCTGGGGGGAAAAGGGGACCACACTCCCCCACAGCCCAGCACCCCCAGCCCCTGCAGCACACCCCCCCCCCATGGCTGCCCCTCTGTGGGGGCTGGGGTGGGATGGGGTGCACAGTGGATGGGGGGAGCGTGTGTCACAGCTTAGCTGATGTAGGTCTCACACAGAGACTGGGAAGTACTGAAATGGGGTCGCCCAGGAGCACCCCCTGTTCCCCAAAGCCTGCCCCGAGCATCCTTCTGTGCCGCGGGATGCAGGAGCCGCCATGGCTGGCACATTCCTGTGCTGTGGGTGGAGTAGGACATGGGTGACCTTGGAAAGCCTCTTCCAGCCGGGAGCTCACCCCAGCCCCGTGAGGATGAGGTGGGGACGGGTGAACGGTGCAGAGGACAGCAGTGGCACAGCCACTCTCCAGTGCATGGGTCCAGGCTGACACACACACACCCCCCCTCACCGTGCAGCTCAGGGTGCCCCCCATGCGTGGGGGGTCCGGGAGGTCCCATGGGTGTACCCCCAGCTGTGCACATGCCTGGCTCTCCAGTGTGTGCTTGTCCACCCTCCTCTGCCCGCTGCCTGCCCGCAGCCCCTCTGGGCTCGCCCTGGCCCATTTTTAGGCCGGTCACGTCTGCGTGGCTTCTTTTCTGCCTGCTCCATCCGGCCGCTGTGTCGGCTCAGCCCTCCTGCACCACACCGGGCCGCGGCCTGGAGCAGCGCCCTGCCCGTACCCCCTGCCACAGCGGGTACAGCCCCCTGCCTGCACCCCGTGCCCTCACCCCTCCCTGCACCTTCAGCCCGTCATGGTGCCCACATGGAGGGAGTCATGGGTGATGGATGCACCAGTAGCATCTGGACCAGTTTGGCACTGGGAAGTGGCACCGTGGCTGTGGGGTGCCCACTTGGGGACAAGGGGGGCTTGACCTGATTTGCCTGGGGAGGGGACCCTGCCCAGCACCCAAATCTCGTGCAGTGAAGCCTCACCATGGATTTTGGTGCTGTGCCCTCACCCTGCTGCTGCTGGGAGTCCCCAGCCCAACCTGCCAGGGCTGTGCCCCCCCCCCCCCCCATGCAGAAGCAGTTTGGGGGGGTCGGGGGGAGGCCTGTGCTGGCTGGGAGCAAGGAGAAGCGTTTGGGAAGGGGAATGTGTGTGTGCTAATGAGGAGCCCTGTTGCTGAGGGGGAATTCGGGGCGGGAGCGGATGGTACAGTGCAGGTGTACCCCCATGCACGAGCAGTGAGAAGTGCTGGCGCTGATAGAGGTGTCCCGGTGCTGGTACAGGACTTCCCCCCCATGCAGCAGCAAATCTAGGGGGGGGGGGGGGCGGGTCAACATGGGATCCTGGTGCAGGTGGGGTTTGGGGGGAGCAGCTTGGGGGGCTCAATGGGCTGGCTGGGAGTGCTGGGGAGGTGTCCCAGTGCTGGGGCAGGGATGCCCCCCATACATCACATTTGGGGCGGTGGGGGTGTCAGTAAGGAATCCCGGTTCTTGGGGGTTGTATCCTGATGCAGGGGCAGTTTCTGGGAGGTCAGCGAGGGATCCCGGTGCAGCGGGGTCCCGGTGCAGGGATGCCCCCTCCGTGCGGGAGCAGTTGGGGGGGGGCTCAGGGAAGGGCTCCTGTTGCGGGGGGTGCAGGGATGTTTCCCCCGGGACGCCGGGAAGGTTCCGTTGCCTCGTCCCAGTGCTGCCGGCGGCATCCCCGGTCCCGCGGGCGGAGCCGGCGGCTCCCGCCCGCCCTCTCCCGCCTCCCCCGGCCCCCCCGGCTCGGCGCGGCGCGGAGCGGCGGGAGGCGCGGAGCGGGGCGCGGGGCGCGGGCGGAGCCGCTGCCGGTGCCGGCCCCGGTGGCGGAGCCGCGGGTCCCTCCATGCCGCCATGGCCCCCGCCCGGCCCCGCACCGCCCGGGCCCTGGCCCTGCTGCTGGCGATCGGCGCCCTCGGTACGTACCGAGCATGGGGATGGGGATGGGAGGGGGCACGGGGGGGCTGCGCCCCGGCATGGGGCCGGATCTTGCACCGGGGACCGGGGGGGTCGGGTCCGACGCCCAGGGGCTTGTCACCTGTAGGAGGGCGGGGGGGGGGGGGGCGGGTCCCAGGCGGCAGCGGGGGTTCCGCGGTCCCGGGCGGGGGCTGCATTCCTCTGCAGGGAAGGGGGGGGTGTCCCCTTGCCGGGGCTCTGTCCCCTTGCAGGGGCTGGATCCCCTTGTCAGGGGTTGGATCCCCTTGGGGGGGGGGGCTTGATCCTGCTGGAGGGGCTGGATCCCCTTGGATGTGTGGGGTGCATCTGCAGGAGCCAGGGAAGGGCTGCATCCTCTTGCCGGGGGCTGGATACCTTTCGGGAGGGCTGGATCTCCCCGTAATGGGGCCGGGTACTCTTGTAGCGGCGGGCTTGATTCTGTTGGAGGGGCTGGATCCCCTTGTATGTATGGGGTGCATCCGCAGGAGCCAGAGGAGGGACTGGCTCCCCTTGCAGGGGTTGGATCCCCTTGCGATTTATGGAGTGCACTTGCAGGAACCAGAGAGGGCTGGATCCCCTTCTCAGGGGACTAGATTCCATTGCGGGGATAGGGGGGAGCTGGATCCCTCTCTAGAGAGCTGGATCCCCTTGCAGTTGGATTGATCCTGCTGCAGGGGCCGGATCCCGTTGAAGGGGCTGGATCCGGTTGTGGGTACTTGCAGGAACCAGAGGAGGCATGGTTCCCTTTGCAGGAGGGGCTGGATCCTTTTGCAGGGGCTTGATCCCGTTAGGGGAAGAGGGGGGAGCTGGATCTTGCTGTATACATGGGATGCATGTGCAGGAACCAGAGAGGGCTGAATCCCTTGTGAGGAGGCTGGATTTCATTGCCGGGGGGGGCTAGATCCTGTTGCAGGGTCTGGATCCCGTTTAGAGGCGGATAGATCCCATTGTGTGTAGTGGGTGCCTATGCAGGAACCAGAGGAAGGGTGGACCTATTTGGGAGGATCGGGGGATGGAGGGGTGGATCCCGTTGCAGGGAGCTGGATTCCCTTTTATATGTATGGGGTGCACTTACAGGAACCAAAGGACGGCTGGATCCCTTGTAGGGGGCTGGATTGCATTGCAGGGGGAGCAAGATCCTGTTGCAGGGGGCAGGATCCCATTGTGGGGGGGCTGGATCCCACGATGTGCGCGGGGTGTGCATGTGCACATGCAGGAAGTAGAGGAGGGGCTGGATCCCCTTGCAGGGCAGCTGGGGGGTCTGGACCGGGGGCAGCTTGGCTTGGAGGTGGGGCTGTGTCATGGTGGGGGATGTCACAGAGTTTGGGGATGATGAATGGGACTGTCATGGGTACGGGGGGACACACAGCGCTGGGGGCTTCTGCAGGGTTTGTCCCTTTGGTCCCCAAGAGAGGCTGTAAAAGACTCGGGTGCAACCCCCCCCCCCCCCCCCCCAAAAGATGCCTTGTCGTGGTGCGGGGGGGTTGAGGTCGAGCAGGCAGGGACACAACGCGCCCCGCCAGGGGTGTGGGGGGCACCTCTGACACCTCTTCCTCTCCTTGTCCCCCTCCAGCATCTGAGTGGCCCCCCCAAAACGCCAGCGAGGCCGAGGGGCGAGGCTCGCGGTGGGACCCGGTGAGCGGAGACCCCCTGGGGGGGCCCAGCAACAACTCCAGCGCCGGGGGGGCCGCGGCGGGGCCCCAGCTGGAGCCCCCCGGGGTGGGCGCAGCAGCCACCACGGACGCGGCGGCGGTGCCGGAGGGGTGCGCGGGGTGCGCGGGCGAGGGTGACGCCAGCGCCTTGCCCCCCAGGACCGGCCCGGCGGAGGACGGCCAGGCCGCGGTCACCTGGCCCGGGGACGGGGCCGCGGTGGCGCTCGGCAGCCCCGAGGAGGCGGGGAGCGGTGAGAGGCCCACGCAGGCCTCCCTGCGCAGCCCCGCGGGGCTCGGGGGTCTCACGGCCGCCCCGCCGAGCCCCCCCGGCCCGCAGCTCGCCACCGACTCGGCTGAGTCCGACCTGCTGCTGGTGGCCGCGGGCTCGGCCGCGCCGCGGATCCCGGTGCCCGGTGAGCCCAGCCCCGTGCCGGCAGCCACGGGGGACTCGGGGCGTCCCCCGGAGATCCGGGAGGCCGCATCCAGCCCGGCCCCGGCGCAGGGGGCTCGAGGCTGGACGGATCTGACCTGGCTGCAGGAGCCCGGCACCACCACCCCGCCCCCGGCCGAGCCGCCCGCCGACCGGACGGCCTCGGAGATCATCGACGTCGACTACTACGACCTGTTTGAAGGGGGCGAGGGACTGGGGGGCTTCCCCGGGGGTGGCCGGGGGGCGGCAGGCTCGGCACGGCAGCGGGAGCAGGATGGGGCAGCCACGCCATGGGCCCTCCATGAGCTCTATGACGACTTCACACCCTTCGACGAAGCTGATTTCTACCCAACCACCTCCTTCTATGCCGACGGGGATGAGGAGGATGAGCTGGAGGAGGATGAGGAGGAAGAGGATGAGGAGGAAGACGGGGGGCTGGAGGACGAGAATGGATACCGGCCACCCGCTTCAGCTGTACCCGGTGCCCAGCCGGTGCCACGGGACCCCCGACCCAACGGCCACCGCGACATGGCCCCACCACAGCCCTCCGGTGTCGTGGGGGGTAGCCCCACGGCGTGGCCACGGCCTGGGGAGCGGGGCCAGCCAGAGAACGGCACCGAGTGTCGGAGCGGTTACGTGCGGCACAACAGCTCCTGCCGCTCCGTTTGCGACCTTGTCCCCAGCTACTGCCACAATGGCGGCCAGTGCTACCTGGTGGAGAGCCACGGGGCCTTCTGCCGGTAAGGGACGGGGACCCTGGGGGTCTGTGTGGGTTCTCCGTTCCCATACATCCCATTCCTGGGTTCTCCAACTCCATGCGCTCCATCCCTGAGTTTTCTGTCCCCCATGCACCCCATCCTCAGTCTCTCTATCCCCCAGTGCAACCCATTCCCGGGCTCCCCATTCCCTGTATCCTACCCTTAGCTTTCCAGCCCCCTGCACCCTATCTTTGGTTCTCCAACCCTTTGCATCTCATCCTTGGCTCTCCGTTCCTGTATATCCTATCCCGGGGCTCTCCAACTCCAAGCATCCCATTCCTGTGCTCTCTGTCCCCCATGCACCCAATTCTCAGTCTCTCCATTCACCACTGTAGCCCATCCCTGGGCTCCCCATCCCCTGTACCTCATCCTTTGCTCTCCATCCTCACACATCCCATCCCTGGGCTTTCCACCACCCATACCCCATCCCTGGGCCCTTCAACTCCATGCACCCCATCCCTGAGCTCTCAATCCCCCATGCAACCGATCCGTAGGCTCTCCTTCTCCCTGCACCCCATGCTTGGCCTCTCCATCCCCATATATCCCATCCCCAGAGTCTCCATTTCCATGCACCTATTCCCACTCTCTCCATCACCCTGCACCCTGTTCCCAGGCTCTGTCCCTGTACACCCCCATCCAGGTCCCTCTGCCCCTGCAGCCCCATTCCCCTGGGACACAGAGGGGCTTTCCCTGCCTCCCGAGTGGCGACTGGGCAGGAATTAGGTCAGGGCCATGCAGGCTCCGGGGCTGCCGCGCTAATCGTCCCTGGCAGATTGCACCCAGGGAGGGCCGATGCCGGCTGTGCTGCACGGCTCAGCACGTGTCGTGTGGCTGGCACCGAGCCCGCCTGCATGGGGGGGACACGGGTGTCCCCAACTGCCCCCACTGGGCAGTTGCTGGGGCTGAGCAGGGCTGGGAAACACGGGTGTGGGAGACGAGCATCACCCTGCACAGACCCCAAGGGGTCACACTCCTCAGGGACCTGTTAACCTCACCCCCCCATCAGATGCCCATAATCTCCCCCATTACAGATGCTGGTGTCCCCCACCATTTGGGACCCACATTTTGGGGTGGGGGTCCCCTAACCGCCTCCCCTTGCAGGTGCAACACACAGGACTACACGTGGCACAAGGGTATGCGCTGCGAGGCCATCGTCACCGATTTCCAAGTGATGTGCGTGGCCGTGGGCTCGGCCGCCCTCGTGGTGCTGTTGCTCTTCATGCTCACCGTCTTCTTTGCCAAGAAGCTCTACCTGCTCAAGACGGAGAACAGCAAACTGCGCAAGACCAAGTGAGTGCCATAGGGACAGCCTGGCACCCCTAAAACTGTCCCAAACCACTGGGGGTGGCACCCTGATAGCTGCAACAGTTTCTGTGGGCTCAGCATCCTGGCTAGATGCGGTCCCATCCCCGTGTCTGTGGGACCCCCTGTGCTGACGGGGACAAGGTGACGGTGGGTGGCAAAGCTGGAAGCTGCCCTGCGGGGACATGGCTTGTGGCTATTGCTCCGTGTTTAATCCTTTAAAGCTGCTCCCGACTGGCACCAGTTAATCTGGTTCACTGGGAGCTGGGGCCACCGGCTGGGCTCACTACACTGCCTGGGGGCCACTGGAGATGGTCCCCACTGTGTCCCTGGGGCCAGGGCTGGGGGGTGGGTGACAGGGCTGGCATGGGTGGAGGTTTGGGTCATTTCCCACCCACCTCCCTGGAGCCATGGAGAAGGCCCTGCCCGCCTGGGTCCCTAATGAGCTGTTAATTAGTGTTTGGTAGAGCCAAGTGTAATTAGCAGCAAAGCTCCCTGCCAGCCTATGGGTCTCCTTCTCAGGCCCTGGGACCATGTGGCTCCTGCCTGCCCTGGGCTGCCCTCACTGCTTCCCTGCCTAGGCCTGCCTGCACCTTCCCAGAGCTGGGGGCATTTAGCCCCAAACCTCTATTCCTGGGGACATTTAGCCCGCAGACTTCCAGTGCTGGGAGCATTTATCTCCCCCAACACCATGTTCACCCCGGAACACTGGGGCATGGGGGGCGCTTGGCATCTCACCATTGTGCTCTCTTCTCCCCACGTTAGATACCGCACCCCGTCTGAGCTGCACAACGACAACTTCTCCCTCTCCACCATCGCCGAGGGCTCCCACCCAAATGTAAGGAGGCTTCTTGGCACCGTCCCCTCCTACCCTTGTCCATCTGTCCAGTAATGTCTTGTCTGCCCCCTCCATCCATGGTCCTGGCACTTCCTGGGTGATGGCATCACCACCGGATCCCTCTGTACCCTCCTGTCCCTGTCCTGCCATGGCCACCACTCCATCCCTTCACTTTCAGGTCCTGCAGTGCCACGTCCTGCCCCAAATACCCAAACCGGCCCCAAGCCAGGCTGGGGGTCACTGTCATCCCACTGTCCCCCTGCCCCATCCCCTTCCCTCCAAGTTCCTGGTGGCTTTGGCTCTGTGTGTGGGGTGGCTTGTGCCGGCGTTTTCAGGGAGGAGACAGCCAGTGCGATATGGCTCTGTCAGACCATGCTCCCTGGCTGTGCCATCGCTGGGGCAGGGCTGGCAGATGACAGCCAGCAGCGGCAGGTGATGCCAGAGGATGGAACACTCTGGGATGCTGCTGGCTTGGTCAGGATGCAGCTGCCGGCATCCCCCAGGGCTGCTCTTCCAACCTCCTGTCTTTCGAATTGGAACAGAGAGAAGCGAAGGGCTTTGCCGAGCGGGAGCCGGAGGAGGAGCATAGGTCCCTCTAGCCTTTGTCTTAGCCCACCCACCGCCAGTTCTCCCTGTCTTTCGACTGCCTTTAGCAGCCATAGCGTCTGCCACTGGCCATCCTGGCAGGAGGCTCCCGGAGCTGGCTCACTCCCTGCTGCAGAGAGGATGAACCTTGGGATGAATTCAGTGCCACTCCACAACATCTCACTGGGCTCTGACCCATCCCTTGTCCACTCCAGGATGTGGAGGGCTTGGTCCTGCAGTGGCACACACGCCTGGGATGCAGCACACTGAGGATGTGGAGGGGACAGCGGGGTCAACACCCTGGGAAAGAGGTTTTTGGGGACATGAAGTGCAACCCCTCTGCTGGGCAATAGAGCTTAGTGCTCATCCCATGGGATTTGTCCTGGCACCAATGGCACAAGCCTCGGACTGACTGAGCACCTCTCATAGCGTCACTGCATAGAAGGTGGTGGTTTCCATCCTCATATGACCATGGCTGCATGACACTGGCCCTTGGGTATCTCCATCCGTCCGCCACTTGCAGGGCAACACTGGGAGCACCATAACCACTACAATGCCAGTAGGTGCCTCACCACCATGGCTCATCCTGTCCTCACAGCCCACCATGCCATAGCTCATCCCACCCCACCAGCACCAACGGTGACGCCAGGACTGTCCAGGAACAGACATTATCAAACACCACTGGAGTTTGGCCCCAGCACCAGCAGTGTGGCTCTCCCCATGGATGTAGGACAAGCTCTGGGCACAGCCCAGCCGTGGGGGAAGATGCTTCCAGCAGCTGTGTGGGGACATCGGGAAGAGGTGTCCATTGGGAAGAGGTGGATCTGGCCTGTGGCATGGTGGGGACAGCTGTACATTAACTGCAATAAATCCAACCCCTTGGGCCTCCTGCCAAGCGCCGCTTGCTCAGGGAGTTACTGATTCTGGGGATGATGAGATGAGCTAGGCTTGAAATGGGAAGAGAAACTGGGTGGTGGGGGTGGCTTGGAAAGGTGATGGGTAGGATGGCTCTTGTGGCCAGCATGGCTCTTGAGTGGCTTTGGGTGCTGGAGGCACCCCATGGTGGGGAATCTGTGGTGGGGATTGGCAGCGAGTCACCAGTGTTTAAGGCCAGGTTGGATGGGGCTTGGAACAACCTGGTCTAGTGGAAGGTGTCCCTGCCCGTGGCAGGAGGTCGGAACTGGATGAGCTTTAAGGTCCCTTCCAACCCAAACCAGTCTGATTCTATCATTCTATGACCCTCTCCCCCCATGCTGTGAGCTCTATGCTCCTCATGTACTGAGATATGCATTGCATGGGGGGACATTTTGAGTCACCCTTGGGCAACCCTGCCTGCTGCCAGGGGCTGCCTGCAAGGAAACAAAGCCCCAGCTGGGATGCCAGTGGGGACACCAGTGCCTTCACCCAGTTCTCATTGCCAGACACCCTCCATTGCAGCAGTGTCCCCCATGTAATGATCATCTCTTGACCCCCCCATCTCTTCTGGCAGGATGACCCCAGTGCTCCCCACAAGCTGCAGGACTCCCTGAAGTCCTGCCTGAAGGACGAGGAGCCATTTAACATCCACAACTCGATGTCGCCCAAGCACGACGGCAGCAGCAGCAAAGGGGAGCAGGACAGCAGCGAGCTCAACTGCCTGCAGAACAACCTGACGTGAGCAGGGCAGGAGAAGGAGAAGGCGAGAGCAGGAGCCAGCCCTCCCGTCCCCTGCTGTACACGTCTCCTGCCTCCTCCCTGTCTGGTATCTCCCGTCTGGTATCATTTTCCCGCTCCGTGGCATGCTTTGATGTGTTTTGTACAGAGGAAAACAGAAATTAATTAATAATAATAATAACAAAGCCAAAGGCCGCACATGGCCTTTGGCCGCGTCGTGGGGGTGTTTGGTTCGTGCTCCGTGTATCTCGCTTGGGTTAGTTCAGCGCTGTGATTTCTAAACCTTTGCTGTCCTGCAACTGACTTTTTTTGTACTTTGCCCCACTTTTTTTGAAATACAAGTAAAAACAACAACAAAAAAAAAAAAAAAGGGAAGGAAGATCTTGAAATAAACCATTTTTTTTTTAAAGTTAAGCCTCTCGCCAGTGATCTCCTGACACAGAGACCGCATCTCCTCACTCCCTGCTTCCCAAGGGTCCCATCTGAGCATCACCCAGGGAGAATGGCGTGTGCCTGGTCCCCCCTCCTTGACCTTCCCAGCTTTGCTGGGCTAGGTGCGCAATGCATCCCACCAGAGCGGGATCCCTGTGGGTTGTTGCCATCCCAGACACGCTTGGGGACCCCCTGGGATGTTTGACGGATGTGCCTGGGCTGCTCCCTGCTCACAGGGGCTGCTCCATCCCCATCCCAATCATGGGATGGGTGCACAGGGGGTGAAGCTGTCACTGGCACCATCCTCACAGCCGCCTCCTTGCAATGGAGCAGCTCAGGATGTCAGTGGGATTTTGAGCTCTGCAGCCAAAACACCCCAAGGTTGTCACCTCCCCAGCTCCTTGTTCCCATCTGCTCAGAGAAGAAACTGGCGCTGCTGTCCCAGCAGCTTTGGCAATGTTGGCTTTGCTTCTGCTGGTGTAAATGAGAAGCAGCCCCGTGCCCCCATTGCCTTCACCCTGCCCTGGGACTGAGTGTGGAGGGGGGTCTCTGCCCAGGGCACCCCACCCTCCCACTGCCCTCCCCTCCGGCTGCGGCTCCGTCTCACTTGCCACAAGAGCCAATTTCTTCCGGAGATGGATTCAACCACAAGCCAAAACCCACAGCTCCTCGGGAGAGAGGAAATGAAGCAATTAATCAACATACAATATTAAGCGTGGCACACGTTAGGGATGCAGCCAACGATCTCCCTGGGGCAGGTAGGAGCTAAAGCCGCAGCTCAGCATGTTTTAGTTGCCTTCTGTGGGCTGCTAAATGATTAATTTTCAGCTCATTCAGGGACATTAAAAACTGAGGGGTGGTGGTGGGAGCCAGCGAATGATCCTGGGGGTCACGCAAAGTGGAGCAAGTGGCTGACCAGCACCACTGGGGCTATGCTTTTTGCCATTCTCCTTCCAGCATGGAACTGTATGACAGGTAAATCCATGGATAAAGCACCTGGGCAGCACAGACACAGCAGCAAAAGATGGCTGGAGCCAAGCCTGAGCGGAGAGTGATGCATTGGGGAGCAGGAGCTCTGCTGAGTGGAGGGGAGACACTGATGCCCAAGGAAGCTTCATGGAAAAGAAGGCAGTCCTGGCACGGGCAGAGGCTGAGCTTCCTATGGGCCTGAGCAGGATGGGAAGGGGGCTGGAGTGGGATGAGGGTTGCTGTGACAGGAGGGAGAGGACCCATGCTTGTGTATCAAGAATGAGGGGAGTAGAAATGTTTATGGCCATGTGTAAGGAAGGGGATGTTGGAAGGAATTGGGAAAGACATGAGGTTGTGGGTGAGAAATACCTGTGGGGAAGAGGAGGGAAGGGGCACTGTGGGGATAGGGGTGGCCACCTTGCTTCTCCAGCTGCCCTTGAAGGGAGTCGGTGGAACCAAATACAGGGAAACAGCAGCCAAAGAGTGAGACCAACCGGCAAACGTGTGGCTGCATGGTGGGCTCTGGAAATCATCTCCTCCTGGCTGGGATCCTTCCTCATGGTGGCTGTGGGTCCAGCAGGATGCTGTCTGGGGAGAGAAGAAATTCTTTGCAGGGAAGAAGCAGTCAGCATAATGCTGCTCCCTTGATCAGACAGAGAAACCTCATCCCTGTTTTGCTGTCCAGAAGTAGGCAGGTCTCCTGCCTGGAGATGGGATCACCCCTTTGGATAATTTGGAGGGACTGCTCTTTCTTCTGCTTGGAGGTGAGGCACAGCCCATCCATCCCAGCACAGCCCATCCATCAGGATCTGCCCTGGCTCAACACAGAGGTGCCCACCTTGGGAGTGTCCCAGATAAGCAAAGTGGCAACTGGGGGTTCCTGTCCTTGGACACTGATTTTTCATCCTTCCAGATGAGCCCAGCACATGGCTGATGTGTAGTGGGCAGTAGGGGACAGCATCTCCACAAAGCTGCGGTGGTAACTCCTCAGGGATAACCCCTTGTTTAAGAGCAGGAACAGGTGGAACCAAGGAATCAAGGAGAGGGGTACTACCCCTCAGTAGTCTCATCTGCAGCTACTCACCCATACAGGCTGCAGGGACTGATGCGGATTGAGGGCAAAATCAGGTCACAAGGATTTAAGCAGGTCTAAGGATGCTCCTGGTCAAAACACACACATTAAAAGAGCAGAGGGTGTTTATTCCCCCTGTCCCCCTGCTACAGGGTAGCAGTCTGACTCCCGTAATTCCCCTCCTTGCTGTTCCCCCTGTTTCGGACCCTACTCACCTACCCGGTGCGCTCCTGCTTCCTGCATGAAGACACAGCTTCTGTCCCCCATCTCACTCCAGCTGCCCATGAACCCCAGAGCCCCTTCTCGCCCTGGGGCCAGCATTCCTTGCTGTGCCTCTGTTTCCCCCCCTGGGTGACAGCATGTTCCCAGCCCTCAGGCTCTCCTCCTGCTCCGGCTTTGCCAGAGCACTGAGGGAAGGAGGAGCATGGTTTGCACACGCGGGTGCATTGGGGTTACCAGAGGGGCCAGGCTCCCTGTCAGCACATCGTCTGACACAGAGAGAGCAGAAGGGACAGCAAAGTGCATCCGCTCTGTGCCATGTGCCAGTCACCAGAGCTGATTTCCTGGGCCCTGGGGTGGAATTTGCTTCCCAGCCAGCCAAGCAACACATGGTATTTTAATCAAAGGCCTAATCACTGTGAAACGGTGGGGCTGCAGACCGCTATTAAATTTAAATGCTTGGTTAGTTTGCAGGGAGGGGAGGCGGCCTTTTGTGGCTGGGCAAGGGCTGGCACAGGATGCGGGGTGCAAAGGGATGGGAATTGGCGGCGGCACCGGGTCTGTCCTCCTCGCTCGGTCATCCTCTTTTCTCTTGCAGACACATAACAGGATTAGAGCCACAACCCCAAGACAAGGCGCCTTTCTTCCTCTTGATGAGCTCCGGCTGCCTGGAACAAAACAGCCAGAGTCTCAGTGCACCGGTCGAGCCCTGGCCGGCAGAGAGAAGGAAGGAGAAGGGGTCAGAACGGCAGCTCTGTGGTCCTGGCAGGCTGTGTGCACCCCAAGCGGTCTCAACACCCCTGGTGCAGGATGCTGCTTCTCTGGGACCCGTTCTTCCCATTCCCAAACGTGTGGGTTTGGCTGTCCTTCCCTGAGCAGCTGGGAGCTTTCCCTGGGAGCAGGAGCTGGAGGTTTGTCTCATACCTGGAGCTAGTGAGGTGGGATCGCTGTGCCCATGTCCCCTCCAGCACCATCTCTTTGCTGGCTTGGGTTTACACACACCAAGCAGCTGGGCTGCCTCCTGGCTTGTAGGACCTTTTACCTGGTGTTTGCATAGCTAGAAAGCATCATGAGTATTCTGTGATGGGAAACAGCAATTACTCCATTATTCTCATTGTAACAGGGAGTGAATCCAGTACTAAACTGCCCCTGTGCTGGATTTAAAGAGAGGAGAAAAGCAAAATCCTCTTAGCTCCATAAACTGTGAAATGCTCAGTGTGGGAAAGAACAGCTGGGCATGCGTTTGCTGACACTGGGGAAGCTCTGGGGATGGCTTTAGCCATGGCAGGCCCTGTTTGTCACTGCTTTGTGCCACGCTGGCCAGCAGAGACATTGGGTTAACTGGTTCTGCTGAGAGAGGAAGAGAGTAGGGCACAGCCATCGACTGAAGACTGAATTGAAACTTAAAGGCAGGAGGCAAATTGGCCAAGACCGAGTGTGGGGTGACCGAGCTCACAAGCCTCATGAAGGGACGTGGAAGAAAAGGGAAATAAAGAGAAAGGACCCTGAGGCACTTGGAGAATGGGTAAGTAAGATCTCATGGGAGGCACATTTAAAGGTGAAAGGAGCCGAGGAAACCGGCGGTCCTTCAAAGCAATGGTGCAAACAACACACATACAAGCCAACCCAGTAGGAAATGTAGTAGGAACCAGCTTGGCTCTGTCACAAGCTCTTCACTGACCTCAGGCTCAAGAGAAAAAAAATAACATTTATAGAAAGTGGGAACTAGGTCAAATTACTAAGGACAGTTGTAAGAGAAGCATAAGCATGTGGGGAAACATCAGAGAGGCCAAAGCACAAATTGAGATGGAAATAGTGAGCATCATTCTTCAAGTGGAAGAAGAAAAGACTACAGGATGAGAATGAGCAAGGGAGTGTTGGTGCAGACCCTGAGAAGAAGGATGGCTGCTGACAGAGGCTGAGAACTCAAGGGTTTCACTGTTTATTTTTTTTCTGAAGCCAGTCTTTAAAAATATCAACTGCAAGCAGCTGCCTACCACAATGAGCAAGATTTTGTGCTCTCCACTGGGAGAGTGTTAACTGCAATAAATAGCGTTCCCAGACTGGGTAGGTGTTTTCTGAACTTCATCCTATGGTACTTAGAAAACCAGTTAAAGCCACGTCAGACCTATCAGGTAGCACAAGGGATGGATAAGGTTTTACAAGCCCAGCTCCAGTTTGGGGCATGCCACTTCAGGGAAGATGCAGCCCACAGGAGAAGGTGCAGGGGGGCAAGACGAGAGATCCAGAAAAGACAGCCTCTGTGGGGTAAACAGTGTAGAGAACTGATGACTAAGGGAGCCATGAGAACAGTCTCAAAAGGTGTAAGGGCTTCTTCAAAAAGGCTGGGAAGAACCAAGGTCTGTGGTGGAATGCCAGGAGATGCCCCAAAATAGGGTGAATGTCAAATGATGAACTTCATTTGCCAGAAAAGATAGTTTGGAGAGACATGAGGAAGTATTTCCTACCTGTGATGAGAAAGAACCACAGGACAGACTGCAGGGGAGGATGGGCAGCTCTCCTTGTAGAGGTCACCAAGAGCAGATCAGATCCATCTCAGGCTGACAAGAACTGCTGATTCTGACATGGTGAGGCGCTGGGAGTGCTGATCCCCTGCATCCCACTCAGCTCTGGTTTCTGCCATTCTGTGTCTTCCAGTGTACCACTTCTTTGCACAGACAGAGGTGGGGCAGAAGGGTAAGCCAAGTCTGGCTTTTTGCTTCTGCCATGCCCCAATATTGTTGATTCAGGAATATTGCTTAGATCTACATATACAATTTGCATATATTAAATGGATTAGAAGTCATTCTGCACAAGCACCTGGGAATCTTGGTCTTCAATGAAGCTCGCCCTTTGCTGGGTGCTACAAAAAGGAAGCATAAAAATATGGTTCTTGCTTTAGAGTACTCAGGATTTAACTGCAAGGCAAGAGACAGCAGATGGAGACAATCTGTTGGGTAGATGAGTACAAAGAAACAGTGAGACAATACTGGCTGGCATGGCAGACAGTGGGGCTTAGCACAAGATGAGCCAAACTTGCTGGGGTTTTGTGCAGATGCTGGAAAAGAGGAGATTTCAGGAAGGATTTGGGAGAAGATACGGAAATTCTTGCATAGCTTTAGGGCTCTATCTTCTGCATGGTGACTCAGGCCAAGGATACAGATGTGGGGAGAAGTGGATCTTTGAAGCTGTCTGTATCATCCTCAGGCTGTTGAGAGGATGTTGTATGTGAGATATAGGAGAGGGTAGGAAAAAAGGAGCTGCTGGAGAGTGCTGAGTGAGAGTTGGGTGGATAAGAAGGAAGAATTGCAAAGGGCTTATCAGAGAGGCAAGAAGAAAAAGAGGATGGGGCAAAATGAGGCACAGATAAGAAGTGTGAAGGATGAGGAGGTCATGGTGGATTGAAAGGGCAGAGGATCTGGCGGATAGCAGTGTCTTTAGTGAGCCCAACAACTTGCATCTGGGAGAGGAGGACAGCATTTTCTCTGCGTGCCTTCATCCCATTTTGCTTGCAACCATCCTCAGGATCCCAACAGTTCCCCTCTGAGATGACTTTGCTGCCACATCCCTGCTGCTTTCAGCATGTTTCCCAGGGATTTTTCAGTCTCTGCTGGAAAAGGCCTGGAGACCCCTCACGGAGAGCCAGCAGGCATTTTGCTTCAAAATGGTAAAAGGAATTTTAAAGGTGACCTGAGAATCGAATCAAAAATCCTCTTCTTCTTTTTTTTTTTAACTTGCTTTATGAATGCAATAAATTACTCTTCACAGCCACAGACAATCAGCAAACAAAGCATGGTTAAATGCAGCAAAGTATGCTTACATTTGACATTAGCAGCCAGTGTATAAAGTGGGGGTAATGAGGTGCCGGAAAGAAATGCCAGGAGAGGATGCAGAGTCACTGTCTCTGAGGGTTTCTAAGAACAGGTTGGACAAACAGCTGTCAAGAAAGGTTTCAGTCAAGCTGATTCTGCCTGGCGGCAGGTGTTGCTCTATCTACACGACCTCTCCAGGTCCCTCCAGTCTTATGCTCAGTGATCCTGCGATGCTTCTGCTCCTTTTCTCATCAAAAATGTCAGGCCTGCTCTTCCATCCCTCAGCCAGAGCTGCTGCCTCTGCCTCTATAGAACAGGTTTATGAGCTTTGTCTTCTGTTCACTGGGGCTGACAGAATGGTAATTCGTAATAGTGTTCTATGTTTTTAACAGTTGCTACACACACAAGGGGATATATATGTATATACAGATACAAACAGGCAAAACATAGCATTTTAAAAGGGAAAGAATAAAAGTCATTGCCCTTTCTATCTATTTTGTCTATTTAGCTTATATTTCTTCCTTCCCAGTTGTATCAATACCCCATAAAACCTTGCAGGACAATGAATACTCAGATGTGAGACTAACTCCACCCCGAACAGTGTATCTGACTTCCTGCAACCAGGGTAAGGAGAAGGCAAAACGCACTGATGCTGTTCTGCGTTTTTCTTCTGTAGGTGTCTTTTAAAGGCAACTCAGGTGTCCCAACTGTTTTACCATGTCCTCAGGCATCAAAATTCATATTTATTTTCCCTGTCTCCTCCCTGGTGCTTTGTCCCTACAGCCCAAGCGAAACTATTCTATGACTCTATGATCTGTGGCCTAGGGGAATCACAGAGTAGAGGCTTTGTAAGTACCTGTGGGATTCTGTTTCACCAGCAGCACTTTTCCCAACCGCTGCCAAACTAAAGGAGATGAGAACATGGAAGCCAGCATTTTTCTCTCCATGGTTGCTACTGGGCTATTTTACCCTCTGCTTTTCTGAGCTGGTCCCCAAGGAAGATGGTGAGGTGTGCTGGCTGGTTTAATACCTGACCCCCACATCTGGTATAATACTTGACCCTCAAGTCCAGCAGGCACAGGGGAGATCTGCTGGCTTCCAAAGGTGTGAGGAGTAGGGCCAAACACAAACACAAGAAGTGATGGCTGAATTTAGGAGCTCACCATAACCCACTTTGGTGTTTGCTGCTCATCTGCAAAGCATAGGCAAACAAAAATAAGTCAGATGTCTGCATTGCTAGCACAACCAAAATAAACCAGTTTCCCCCTAGTTTTCCTATAGAAAAGAGCACTGCTAATGGCAGAGGGGTGAGGAGTGACATTATGGCAGGGTGACATGTCCAAGTAACAGGGTGATACATCCAAGCAACAGTGACAATAGCAGGAGCCATCTCCAGAGAACAGCTCTGCCACGCTCCAGGTTCCCTTTCCCACTGACTGTCACAGGGAGGGACCCAGTGGCTTAGAAATTCTTTTCAAAGCCTGTCTCATGCATTTCTTTACAGAACTCCAGCACCTGGTTGAGCTCATCCATTATTCCTTCCAGCTGCTTTTTGCTGTGTCAAGGTCACAGCATTGAGTGGGCTGAATTTATCCCCCGAACACAAGCTGAGTTAAAGGGACAACTTGCCTGTTTCTTTTCTTACCCAGCCATTGACTCGGCCCAACATCTGCTCTCCTATTAACCTTCTCTGGCCTCAAAGCACTAATGATCTTTTATGACTCAAAGCATTACTAAAGCAGTTAGCATTCTATCAGCAACAACGGCGTTATGGGAAGACAAGAAAGCCCTCCCGCTTTGGTCTGCTCCTTTTGCTGTGGTGTAATTTGATTTGTGCATTAAAATCCAAAGGGATGGGAATATCCTGGAAAGCTCAGCAATAAGTAACGCAGGCATCTCTGTCACCAGGAAGGAATAATCAAAGGAGGTAAATCAAAGTGCCTTCTTCTTAAAAATCATTTTCCCTGCACCCCCATTGAGAAGCCAAGTGCTTTTAGTTAACTTTCCCTGTGGTGCTTTTGGGAATTACCTCAAATACTGCAAGATTAATTGTTTTGATTGATTCAGTTGGGTTTTTTTTTCCTACTCCTGGTCATGAATTGCTTTTTACCCACTGGTATGACATAGCATTGGAGCTTAATTGTAAGTAGCATTGTTACCTGTGGATGCCATATGGCTACACTACGCAATACTTACAAGGTTTGCTGCATTGTAAATACTGCAAATAAGCATGAAGCAGATGGGAGGGAAGGGGCAACTGTTCTAGGGGCGAAATTCTCACTGCCTTCTCGCAGTAACAAGTCATGAAATGTGAGAAGGAGTATATTAAGAAGGACAAGAGGTGTTTTGAGAGATGCAGCTGTACTTTGCCTGTGGTTTTGGTCCCCTTCCCACTGCAAAGAGAAAAAGAGAGGATTTCACTTTTCATTTACAAGGCATTTAGGGCTCTGCTGCTCCTGAAGGAACTAGAAGAAAAGTGCTATAGAGGGAGAAATGTGACAGAGCAGACAAAAGGTGGCTTTAAAATGGCATATTTGCTAGCACACAGATGCAGCCTGATGGGGAGCTCCCAGGTAGGAACATCTCCAGGCTCTTCTCTGACTGTGAACTCCCTTTGCTGGCATCTGTGCTGCAGAACGGGGCTCTGCAGACAAACCATGGGAACTAGAAGGCCAGGAGCCAGACTATTTCAAAGGGTGGCAAAGGAATTAAGGCTCTGGCTGCACCAACACAGAGCGGGGACTCAGCTGGTTACTGGACTCCCTGAGACCAGACCCAGGTTCCCAGCTCTGTGAAAGGGTAGGAAAACAAAAGCAAAGTGATTTGGACTTTTAAAGAAGCTTTCAGCTGAAGCTTTTACAGAAATGAAGCCATCAAAGGGTAAGAGAGGAAGTCCTTTCACAGCTAAATAACTGGTTAAAAGACAGGAAGCAAAGGGCTTCTTGAGGAAGAGAAATTACAGATGGGATATCCCAGGGACTGCACTGGGACCTGGCTGAGATAGCGTATTCCCAAATCCTCTGAAGAAGTGATGGAGGACAGGATAGTAGAGTGTACAGATCATACACTGTATGATTGGAAATAAAGAGGGAAGAACAGCTGCAATGGCTCAACCAAATATTCATACAGCCCACTGCCTTTTGTACAACAGTTATCCTAACCAGAGTGTGAGGGAAGAACAAGGCTAAGGCAAGCAGTTCTGTCCCCACAGCTCTTCTCCAAGGCCCCAATACTTTGCAACCCAGGGACTTCCCAAGTCAGTGGTTACTGATAGGAGGTTATCTCCTCCTCCCCTCAGGAGATCTCTCTGCCACGGACTTGTCACCTTTCCCCATTGATTCGCCCTCTTAAACCCACCTAAACCTTCAGCAGTGATAATTCGTGGTTCTGAAGAGCCTCACGCTAAACTACAGGCATCTCCTCTCTCTTGCTCCATGCTCGCCATTTATTAGCATCGTTTGATGCCCCCTAATGCTTGCAGCGGACAAGACAGTGCCAGGCTGGTGCATCCTCCCTCCAGGCCCCCAGGGACAGCCAGCACACCAGCACATTTCCCCTCTGCCTGGCAATACGTGTCTACATTATGGGAATCAAAGGTTACAAATGCTTAGGTGGGGCAATGAAACGGAAAGTGACAAAAAATGCAAATTTGGTTATGAGGGACAAAAAGCAATGCTAAGTAATGTGGATTTTTGTGGTTAAATTTGCTGCTACAACTCAGCTGCTAGCTGGGAACTGCTGTGGCTTGTTCTTTGAGAGAGCCAAATTAATGTCCAGTAGCACTCAAATGTGCTAATAATGTAATAGGAAATGTTAAAAGAGTAATGGACCCCTCTGAAGTATCCCACTGCCCCGTGGCATATTATATCTGCCATATAATATATCTGAACCTCTGCTATGGAGACAGGCTGAGAGAGCTGGGCTTGTTCAGCCTGGAGAGGAGAAGGCTTCAGGGACACCTTAGAGCAGCTTCCAGTGCCTAAAGGGCCAACAAGAAAGCTGGAGAGGGGCTTTTGACAAGGGCAGGTAGGGACAGGACAAGGGGGAATGGATTTAAACTGACAGAGGGGAGATTGAGACGACATCTGAGGAAGAAGTTCTTCCCTGTGAGGGTGGTGAGGCCCTGGCACAGGTTGCCCAGAGAAGCTGTGGCTGCCCCATCCCTGGCAGTGTTCAAGGCCAGGTTGGATGGGGCTTGGAGCAACCTGGTCTAGTGGAAGGTGTCCCTGCCCATGGCAGGGGTTTGGAACTGGGTGAGCTTTAAGGTCCCTTCCAACCCAAACCATTCTGGGATTCTATGATATAAACCCAGTGTGAAGCTGGCAAAAGGGTAAAGGGGGACACCTCTGGGCCAGGGATCAGGGGTAGCAAGTCCAGCTAGAGTCCAGACACTGGTGGTTAGTGCTGGGACCCAGCCCCATTTAGCACCTCCATTAGCGGTTGGGATGGAGGGTCCTGCTGCAGCGCAGGCACCTTGGCCAGGCTGACAGGGTGCTCACAGAGCGCAACCATGGGGGAGGCCAAGCCCTGCAGCGGGATGAACCCAAAGCACCGGGAGGCGCTGGCGCTGCCCAGCCGGAGCCCCTCAGCAGAAGGAAACGCTCTGCGGCGCTCCTCAGGGGATCAGAAGCCGCGCTCACGCTGCCTCCGCCCATCCAGCAGGGGGCGCCGTTCGCCTCCGCTCAGCGCATGCGCGGAGCCGCAAGACCTCCCCTAGTCCCCGTTGCCGGAAGATTCCGTGTCCCCCCCGTGGCGGCCCTCCTGCCATGTTTGCGGAGCTGAACGAGCTGCTGAACGCCTCCCCGCAGCGACCGGAGACGGTGAGAGGGAGTGATATGAGGAGGCAAGGGAGGAAGGAAAGAGCGGGGCTGCCTTGGCGACCGTGCGGGCCCTCACGGGGGCTGCTGGGAGCTGCAGTCCGAGAGCCGCGCGGTGCATGCCGGGAGAGGCGGGGCACTGTGAGGCGGTGGCGGGAGCGCGGTGTGGTGGTCGTGGCCTAGGCCTCCACCACGTCGTTAACGGGCGCTGGGTCCTCCTCTTCGCTCTGTCTTGTTTCCCCGCTGCTCCTCAGGGGTGAATGTCAGGTATCCGCCGCTGTATAGGGGCCGGGACTTCTACCCGCAGCCCCTTGGTGTGTGTGTCTGTGCGCGGTCGCTGCCGTGTGGGGGATAACAGCAGAAGCGGGGATGAAAATTAGTACCCAGCGCTCCTCCGGGCCCTGTGGTGTGCTCTAGAGGTTCCTCTGTCTTCAGCCCCCTCAGTTAATTCAGTTCACCCATGTAGGTGTTGTGGTAATGGAATCTACGCTGTAACTAAATGCCTTTGCCTTGCGTAAGGTCTGTGAGGCACTTCAGGTAAAAAGTTAATAAAATACAAGTGTGTTTTACATCACTCTCTTTCCTGATAGGTATTAGCACAGTGAAAGCAGGTTTGGGATGATAATTTATTTTCTATGTCCGAGTTTACCCCTGTATTTCCCTATAAAGTTTATGGTGGGAGTAGGGCAGTGCTCCCCTCAGCTGGAAAACACTGGTGGGGTGTTCTTGGTGCTCAGAGGGCTGGAGCACTTCTATGGAGACAGGCTGAGAGAGCTAGGCTTGTTCAGCCTGGAGAAGAGAAGGCTCTAGGGAGACCTTGGAGCAGCTTCCAGTGCCTAAAGGGGCCCCAAAAGAAAGGTGGAAACGGGCTTTTCATGAGGGGCTGTAGGGATAGGACAAGGGGGAATGGCTTTAAACTGACAGGGGAGATTGAGATGGGATGTGAGGAAGTTCTTCCCTGTGAGAGTGGTGAGGCCCTGGCACAGGCTGCCCAGAGAAGCTGTGGCTGCCCCATCCCTGGCAGTGTTCAAGGCCAAGTTGGATGGAGCTTGGAACAGCCTGGTCTGGTGGAAGGTGTCCCTGCACATGGTAGGGGCGATAGAACTGGATGGGCTTTAATGTCCCTTCCAACCCAAACCATTCTGGGATTCTATAATTCTATGATCTGGCCATGAGTTGCTGGAAATCAACATCCTGTTGTGCTTAAAAAACATCAGCCCTTTGTGAATCTCTTCTTCCCATCTCCACCATCCTGATTTCTGCATCTCCACAGTTGGCTTATGACATGTTCAAAGTGCTGACAAATGCCTTCACTGCAGGGCTGGCAGGTGGATGCCGCCTGTGTGGGCGTATCTGACATGTCACTGCTGAATGCTGGTGACACCCGCTACTGCCCTGCCAAGGACTTTGTCAGTTTCCAACAAGTAGCTGCAGCTTCTGCTGTGTAGCCTGCAGGTGGAAAGAGCCTGACAGCAAGAGGGAACGGGCTGGGGCAGGTGGATGAAGGGACTACAAGAAGGCTTTGCCTTTGCAAGTGCTTCATCCCCAGCAGCATCTTTCTGGGCTTGAGAAGGACATGAGGAAGGGGGAAGAAAATTGCACTGAGCATCCATGGTGGAAAATCGGGGGCTGTGGGTCTTCTCCCTGCCAACAAACTAGGTCCTGGTGGTGGGGCCAGGGCTTACCAGCTCCTCAGCAGCATTCCTTTTCCCTGGCAGCCAGGGAAGGCTTCCCACCACCCAGACCCCCATGGATCTGGTTGCTTCCAGCCAGCTGCTAAACAATTTGATCAGCCTGGTCTGTGGGGATGTGTGCAAGAGCTGCATGGACTTTGGAAAGCCTCGCAGATTCCTGCTGGCTTTGCATGCCTTCCTCCGTGTGTCAGCGTGGGTGGTAGATCCCCCATTCCTGTATTTGTGGCCTGTGTCTGGAGTTGGTAAAGGCTTTGGAGCAGGTCTGTGGCCAAAGGCTGTGGAGAAGTTAGTGGGTTGGGTTGCTCAAAGAATGACTGTCAAAACTATCAGCAAGAGCAAATTTAATAAGATATATAAAGGCATGACTTAACAGAATTTGATTGCGAGGTTCACTCTATTACTTACTACGTGGATGAAGTGTATAAAGAAAAAATCAAGGCAAAATCCAACTAAAAATGTCTGATACAGAGACCAAAGGTACAAGAGGTAGGGAAGACCCTCATGTTGAGTCATAAGTTTTAAAACAGACCCCTTTGCTTTCTAAACTCCTGAAAGAGCAGAAGTGTATCTGGATCCAGTCTTGGTCTTAGACTTGGTCAGCAGTTTACGTGTAAAGGTTTAGAAGTTTCACCACAGAGGGAATTCGTACACAGTTTCCGTTTAGCAATATTTTCCAGTTTTGAGGTGGATCTTACAAAGTTTGAAAACAGAATTTACTGCCATTGCTATAACAATCTGTACACACATACCTAACAACATAAGGCTAGCTGTTAAAAATTTCTCTTGAGAGTCAGTGAAATATGTCCAATGTCTCAGCATATCTCAGTGGGTGAGGGTTGAGTCTCAAGGAGTGGAGGAATGTCAGCCCAGGTCCTGTCTTTCACTGACAGGCCTCTGATTATAGCAAACTTGAGCTTTTGTGACTTCTGAGAGGCATCCTCAGAGGGAGATGCTGGTTGCTGCCCACTGTGAGCTGAGAGAGCTCATAGGGTCTCATTTAGGACTACTCTTTATAGGTTCACAACATAATTGGCTTTAGTCGTTAATCAGATTTCTATCCTGGATGCAACCCAAGTCGGTAGTTACTAGAAATAAATAATACTCTGGCGACAGTGGTACCATTCCATTTGGGCTATGATCAAGGGAAGGAGTATTCTGAGGCTGTCAGGGGACTCTCGTGAGAACCACCCTGAAGTCCTGCATCCAGCTCTGGGGCTTCCAACATAAGAAGGACGTGGAGCTATTGAAGTGAGTCCAGAGGAGGCCATGGAAATGCTCTAAAGGCTGGAGCACCTCTGCTGCGGAGACAGTCTGAGAGAGCTGGGCTTGTTCAGCCTGGAGAAGAGAAGGCTCTAGGAAGACCTTAGAGCATCTTCCAGTGCCTAAAGGGGCCAACAAGTAAGGGGCTGCCCCATCCCTGGCAGTGTTCAAGGCCAGGTTGAATGGGGCTTGGAGCAGCCTGGTCTAGTGGAAGGTGTCCCTGCCCATGGCAGAGGTTTGGAACAGGATAAGCTTTAAGCTCCCTTTCAACCCAAACTATTGTGGGATTCTATGATTATCCCTGCTGTCAGCTCCCACCTTGGCCAGAGAACAGAAGTCCCTGGTATGGTCTGTACCTCCCTCCTTAGCTGTGACAGAATACCTGGTATGGTCAAGTGACACTTCACTGCCCAACTGATTACACAAAGGCCAAGGCTTGTGGGAATTCCTGAAATCATAGATCAGCCAAGAGGATTGGGATGGGTGGGGGAGAGATGTGCCATCACACAAGCAGGATGCAGGAGTTTCCTGGATCTGTTGCCTCCCTTCCTCGCTTTTCTCCTTCCCTCTCTTCTTTCTTCCCTCTTTCCTTCTACCAGCTGTACTTTGGTGCAGCTGCTGCCTTTGGAGATACTTGGTTTTGACACTTCCACTCCTGTTTAACTGGCATCTGAAGTGTCAGAAAGGAAGAGGTTTGAGTGCTACCTGAGCACCTGCAGTGTGACAGCAAAGTGAGGGTTGACAGGATTTAAGGGTTTGTAACTGGAAGATTTGTAAACCAAAATAATGTGTGTTCTGAATGATAACATCCTGCTGTGTTCTGCAGAGGAGAGAGCCTTTGGAGAGTTAGCAGGTGGGGGAGGGGACTCAGTGTCTGCTCTTGAAGGGGGCCATTGTGCGGAAGAGGGATGTTGAAGAGGATGGAGTTGTGCAGAAGATAAACCTCTGAACACTTGAGCTTGTGCTGTTTGAACCCAGAGACTCCTCCAGGCTTGGCCATGGAAGGTACATCTCAGTTTGCTGCTCACTGGGGTGGTGCCTCTAGTTACTGTAATGGCCACAGAACCTAACCCCTTTTTCTGGGTGGGAAAGACCTCTCTGGCTAAGGCAGAGCGCTACTTCTCTACCCTGGCTTCTGCTTTGCATTCTCTGCAGCCGTGTTCAATATTTGCTGTTCCATTAACACTGCTTTTGGTTTTGGGCAGTGGGGAGTTAACTCTGATAGATGGCTTGTGAATTGCCTATGGGTATATTGCTTGTTGCTGTAAAAGACTTTTCCTTCTAATAGATTGGAAAAAAAAGTGCATTGATAAGTTCTTTGTGATTAAAAGCAGCCCTTCTATGATTTGTATTGATTAAAGAAATATCTTGACTAAGGTTTTAATGGAAACAAATGCCTTGATGAGGCTGGTACTGATAACAAGCATGCACTGATGAACTGAATTAATTTCCTGTGTGATCAAAACAAGGTATATACTTTGGGCAGAGAGCTCTGCTCCAGTACACATATTCTGAGGATACGGTTTTCTGCTCTGAACATGGCATGTTTGAGGTAACCCTGGAACAGGGGACAGGGAGAGTGGTCTGGGGACAGGAGAAGCTGCAGCTGTAGCAGGGCTGCCATTTTAAATGCTCAGGTGATACTGCCCGTGGCAGCAGGAGAATGGACAGGGAACAGTGGGTGGCTGTTGTCTGCCTGCCATCTATGCCACTTGAAGCAGAAAGAGGTGGAAATGGCTCCCAGCCATTCAGATGATGGTGTCCAGCACCAGGTGCATGAATACTTGGTGTACTCTGCACCAGCTGCGTGTTTTCGTGTGAGGAGGTGGTTCTTGGTGGGCACAGAGCACGGTGGTCTCAGCATAGCTCAAGGGCTTTCAGCTGGTGGCACGTCTTTTGGAAAGCATTGAACTCAACAGCTTCTGATGCTTTCCTGTGGGCTGTGTCTGGAGGAATCGCTGGCATACCTCTTTAAACGGCTGGGTAGCTGTAGTTCTGCTTGTCCTCTTCTTTCTCTGACTAGTAACCTGCAGAGTGTTCCCATGCCTGAGCAGACATCTTGTCTACCAAGATGGAACCAGGAGCAGTTTGTGCCTGGTGTTCCTGTTAAGTTATTTTACTGTTTCTTTTTCAGGGTAAGTTCACACTTCTGCGAGACACCAGAACAGATGGCAGCTTCCTGGTGCACCATTTCCTCTCCTTCTACCTCAGAGGTATGTCAGCAGCAGGACTCTCCAAGGCAAAGGTTTGCCTTTGCCATCTCCTTGGAGGTTCCTTCAGCGTGAAGTGTTTCTATGTGAGCAGAGGGTGGTTCTGCAGAGCATGAGACATCCTCAGATTAGTGCAAAGCTTTGGGATCAGGATTTATGGATCCCAGTCCTGACTTGTTCTTGAGAATTGTTCTGTGTCTTTCGTTACATCCCATAATGTCTGTGTACCGTGTTTCATCATTAGTGCAGTGAATGTTGTAAGTCGCAGGGGCATTTGACAGTAGGAGCTGACGGCAATTCCTTCACTAGCTAGGTGTTTTATAATGTAATTACAGCTATCAGGAACAGCTAACAAATAGATAAGCTGGTAGTGAGTAGAGAAACAAAGAGCCTGGCAAGTTGCCTAATTGCTTTTCTGCTAACAGTTTCACCTGTGAGTAACCTACCAGCCCCTGCAGAGTGGGTGCTGGACTCACAGACTTTTCCTGCTTTCTTCTGGCAAAGCAGCAAGCCCAGCAAATCTGGTACCTATAAGACTTGAAACTTAGCTCAGAGTGCTACGCAGAGAGCATCCTGCCCCCCCATAACTGCCACATCCTCAGCTATAGCTTTATCCCATTTCAAAAAAATTGTTTTACTTAATGGAACAGTGTGAACTGCAGGAAGACCTGTGGGGAGCAGGTTATTGACAGTGTGAACAGTTCAAAATCATCAAATTCTAGATTGGTTTGGGTTGGAAAGGACCTTAAAGCTCCCTGAGTTCCACCCCCTGCCACAGGAAGGGACACCTTCCACTAGACCAGGTTGTTCCAAGCTCCATCCAACCTGGCCTTGAACACTGCCAGGGATGGGGCAGCCACAGCTTCTCTGGGCAGCTTGTGGCAGTGCCTCACCAGCTTCACAGGGAAGAACTTCTTCCTCGCATCCCAACTCAGTCTCCCCTCTGTCAGGTTAAATCCATTCCTGCTTGTCCTATCCCTATAGCCCCTTGTCAAAAGCCCGTTTCCAGCTTTCTTTTTTGGGCCCACATAGGCACTGGAAACTGCTCTAAGGTGTCCCCAGAGCCTTCTCCAGGCTGAACAAGCCCAGCTCTATCAGCCTGTCTCCAGAGCAGAAGTGCTCCAGCCCTCAGCATTTCTGTGGCCTCCTATGGACTCTCTCCAACAGCTCCATGTCCTTCTTACATTGGGGCCTCAGAGATGGACAGAGGGCTGTGGGGTGGATTTCAGCAGAGTGGAGCAGAGGTGGAGAATCCCCTCCCTTGACCTGCTGGTCATGCTGCTGGTGATGCAGCCCAGGACACGGTTGGTTTCTGGGCTGTAAGTGCACACTGCTGGGGCATGGTGAGCTTCTTGTCACCCAACACCACCAAGTCCTTCTCCTCAGGGCTGCTCTCCTCAATCCAGTCTCCCCCAGCCTGTATTTGTGCTTGGGATTGCCCTGACCCATGTGCACAACCTTGCACTTGGCCATGTTGAACTTCATGATGTTGTCACTGTCACACCTCTTGCTGTCCAGGTCCCTCTGGATCCCATCCCTTCCCTCTAGTGTGTCGACTGCACCACACAGCTTGGTGTCGTTGGAAACTTGGTGATGGTGCTCAATCCCTCTGTGATGCTGGCAAAGATGTTAAACAGCAACAGTCCCCTAACCAATGCCCCTCATCACTTGCCTGCACTTGGGCATTGAGCTGTTGACTGCAGCTCTTTGACTGCGACCACCCAGCCAATTCCTTATTCCCTGAGTGGTTCATCCATCAAATCCATGCCTCAAAGGGACAGCCCTGCCAAGGCACTGCCTCAGAGTCTCCCCACATCCCTTTGCTGCTCTGCTGCTTGTTCTACTTGAAATCTATGTCCTGCTTTCTGGCAGGGGGAAACAACTAATGGTTTTGTTCATACACAAACCATAACATCAGGTTGTCACATTCTAGGTTTTCCAAAATCATGTTTAAGTGTCAAATTTGCTTGTTCTGTGTGTTTTTCCAGTCAAGGTCACTTGCTCTCTGAGAGCCAAAATGGGGATTTTTGGCACATCACTGGTTTCAGTAGTTCATGTCACGGTCAGCCATTGGCCTCTTTGCAGTAATACCAGCAAATAGTGCCAGGAGATCCCTGGGCAAGGTGGCATGAGACAGAAAAGGGGCCTTCTACTTTTCTATGTAATTTTTTCTTGTTCTTTCCTTTTCCTTTTAAACTTAACATTTTCCCTAATGTAGAAATCCTATAGAAAGGTGAAAATTGAAAGCCCAGCCATGAGCAAGCGACCTGTCTCACTTCAAGGACTTTCCAGACAGATCGGTAGCCCGGCTGCTGTGTATTATGTTCTTTGATAATGGCAGCTTGCAAATTTGAAATGATAACGTGTCTTTTTGTCTTCCCTCCCAGCTGGCTGTAAGGTTTGCTTTGTGGCACTGCTGCAGTCCTTCAGTCACTATAACATCATAGCACAGAAGCTGGTAAGTCTGTTTGCGTAGGCTAATAATTACAGGTGCAGGGAGTTTCTGTTGGATGGAAAGAAATGAGAACAGGAATGGGAATTGCATGTGAGCAAATGTTTCCAGATCTTGATGGGGACATCAGGAGTGGTGCTCCTGCAGTAGGAGAGCACTTCTCACTGGAGAAGGGATGTGGCATAGGGCGAAAACTTAGCTGTAAGATTCACTGCAAGGGCCCCACTGGGCTCTGCCCTAGAGAGGGCAGAAAGCTGAACGGCTGCTTGCTTTCTTTGTGCTTAGAAATGTTTTCTGGAGATCAGTATTCCCCAGGCAGGCCCAGACTAGTAGATGTAGTTTCATTAGTGCTCTGGGGAGAACAGTGCCATGGTGTCTGTGTCCTATGGGCCTCTCTCTGCACCTGCAGGATGCACCAGCTGTACGGCATGCGAGCTCCTGAGGTGACTTTATGCTCTGTCCTGTGGTTAAGTTGTGATGAAGTGCATTCAGCTGAATCCCCTGTAGATTCAGAAGAACACCTGTATGCCTCTTTGTGCCTGTGGGCCAAGCCATCAGTTTGAGCCATCTGAGGAGCCACAAATGCTGTGTTCGAATGGATTTCCCTTGGTGAGTCAGGCAAGGATTATGTGTATCCTGAAATGAGGAAACAGGGAAACAAAGTAGGCAGGGTTATTCCCAGTATCAGCAAGTCAGCCTGAGCTCTGGCTTTAAACTGCAGTTCTCGGGTTTTTCTGCAATGCCCAGATGTGGAATACTCTAGTTGGGAAGTCCAGGTGACCTTCCAGGTCTGAAGGGGTAGGTCTTGAATTAGTCCTCCCTCTGGTTCTGCTGGAAATCCCAGCAATGCTGCTGCTTATAAAGACTTACAGGTGCTGAAGGACCAGGTGTTGCAATAACAGTTTATTTCCCACTGTAAATGGGGGTTGAGTTTTGGTGCTTGCTAAGCAATTGCATTTTATCTACTACTCAGCTTTTACTCTGTAAAAGATCAATGGTCTGAGAGCTCAGACCTAAGTTAAATAAAAGAACAGAATCATATAGAATCCTAGAATGGTTTGGGTTGGAAGGCACATTCAAAGCTCACCTAGTTCCAGCCTCCTGCCATGGGCAGGGACACCTTCCACTAGACCAGGTTGCTCTAAGCCCCATTCAACCTGGCCTTGAACACTGCCAGGGATGGGGCAGCCACAGCTTCTCTGGGCAGCCTGTGCCAGGGCCTCACCACCCTCACAGGGAAGAACTTCTTCCTCAGATCTCAGTCTCCCCTCTGGCAGTTTAAAGCCATTCCCCCTTGTCCTGTCCCTACCTGCCCTTATCAAAAGCCCCTCTCCAGCTTTCTTGTGGGCTCTTTAAGTATTGGAAGGCTGAGCAAACAAAGCATTTCCACGTGGAGCTTTAACTCACAGCGGATACTCAACATGTGATTGCCCAGTGGAGCAGATTCCCTACTGCTGAGCAAACCAGCCTCTTCTAGCACTGAATAGTTCTCCCCTTTGTGTTGCAGAGAGGAAAAAATCTTGGGGGGAACTTAAGAGGGACAGGAAATGGGACAAAGCCACCAGTGTAGGCAGGAGATTCAGCTGTTAAGTATGGGATCCTTGCCTGCTCTAAAAGCAGAATCATGTTTGTTGGTGTGTTTCCTAATGTGATGAAATTTCCTGGTGCACAGCTTGTGTGTGTGCTTTTAATAGGTGCTGTTGTCATCTCCCTTGTGGAAGAGTCTGAGAAGGGAGAGAACATGAGGATTAGCTGCAGCACATGTGCAATGCAAATCAAAATCATTTGCTGGCTGATGCTTCAACAGAAATGTTACTGACATGAAGGGAGGTGGTAAGAAGAACAATACAGATTGCCCAGGGGAGTGCAGAGAGGTGATTAAATTTGCCACTGTGGTGAGCTGTCCCTGTCCTGTTGGTTTCAAGTCTGAGTCAGTCTTACATTAGAACTTCACAGGTGCCCGTGTGGTCTATTGTGAATTCTTCCTGAGCTCTGAGGATTTGGAGGTCGTAACATCAGTTATTTATATCTGAGTTTTCGTAAGGTCTTTGCTTTAATCCTTTTTTTTTGCCTAAATGAACACATCAGGCTCAGTAAAGGTGGTTTTTAGCAAGGTCATGTCACTCTTAAACTTGCTTAAGAATTTGCTGCTGTAGATCTCTAGTGAAGACCAGCAGGGATGTCATCTACATGGCTGCAGTAAACCCCAGTTCTGGGCAGCATGCTGAGCTGAGTCATGCTGCAGTTAGGTGAGCTGCATGCCCCGCCAGATTACCATCCGCTGTCTTCCCACTTCTTCCTTCATGACAAGCTGCTTGGCTCTCTGTGTTGGCCTGGAGAGTTGCAGTGGACCAGGCTGTAGTTCCTCCAAAGAACCTGTCCAAGGGGAGCTTTGCGGAGACTTTAGAGCAGCTTCCAGTGCCTAAAGGGGCCAGCAGCAAAGGTGGAGAGCGGCTTTTGACAAGAGCAGGGAGGGACAGGACAAGCAGGAATGGATTTAAACTGCCAGAGGGGAGACTGAGATGAGATCTGAGGAAGCAGTTCGTCCCTGTGAGGGTGATGAGGCACTGGCACAGGTTGCTCAGAGAAGCTGTGGCTGCCCCATCCCTGGCAGTGTTCAAGGCCAGGTTGGATGGGGCTTAGAGCAACCTGGTCTAGTGGAAAGTGTCCCTGCCCATGGCAGGGGGTTGGAGCTAGGTGAGCTTTGAATGTCCTTTACAACCAAACTATGCTGTGATTCTGTGATTCCTAGGTTAAATCTCCCATGCATGATCATTCTTGGCAGGAGATTATGCACTTCCGAAAGACTGCAGTTGGAAGAACTTCATACCTTAGCAATGCTCTTGTTTCTGCTTGGAAATGGATGGTCCCGCGCCTGGGAAGAAGGGTCCTGGAACTAGGGTCATATTCTGTGATCCTTACAGTGATGTTTGGTAGATCTGGTCCTTGTAGTACCTGGTGTATATATAAATATACTAAGTACTTACACACCGTTGAAGTAATGCTTGCCTTACATGCTCTTCCACACAGTGTTGCTGGGTCTTACCAGGCTAGAACCACCTCCTTATGTGTTAGCTAAGTGCAGTGGTGTATTTTTACTTGCAGGAAAAAGCTTCTCTGGATTTTTGTGCCTGTACTGCCTCTGTAATACTGGCTTCACAGTTTTCCTTTTTTTGCAAATCCTGCTCTTTTCATGAACATCTGCACTTATTTTTGAGGTACAGTTAATGTTATTTGCTATGTCCTTGTAGAGAATATGCTGGGCCACAGTGGTAGGAAGACTAATGGCACAAGGGCTGCTTGCCAGGTTGGTGTTCCCACCCTCATTTGTACAGTGTTTTGTTTTGAAGGAAAAACATACTTATCCCCATTTGGTCTCCCTCTTGCCTGTTGCCCTCTCTCCTGCCCCAGCACTGAGCTCACACATCACCTGGTCACCTCTGCTTGCCCCTGCATGTAGTTGTACTAGAGAAGGGACCTTGGTCAGTTGCCTGGTCACAGGTGGTCACACTTTGTACCCTGGCTGTGTTTGCTGTTGGAGCTAATGACCGTTGCCTCACATGCTCCATTACTAGTTCTCTTTTCCAGATATTTTGCTTTCCCTAATGAATTGGCTCATGGTGAGCAGTGGTTCTGTTTTGAAGGGATGTCACTGCTGGCAGGCCGGAGGGCCACTACGCTGCCTGGCTGGCAGCATCCCAGATGGATGAGAACAGTTGTGCTCCGTCATGGTGCTCGCAGCTCCAGTCATGCTGAGCTGCTGTTTCAGAAGCATTTCTGGGCTTGATGGGTACATGACAGATTGCCAGAGATAATGTTTGTGTGCTCCCAGCCATAATGGAGCGTGGTGCTGTGGGATAATGAAAGCTTTCAGGGCTGCTTAATGCATGCTGTTTGGATGTTCTGCAGCACCGTGGCTCTGCAGCAGGAATGTGTGTAGTGTCTATGGTAGTCAGGAAGGTGGCCGTTGGCCATTTTGAGTGCTTTTTCCAGTGTCTTCAAGCTGTTCTGATGCTTCCTGTGCTGCTTCCAGAGGTTACTAGCTGTGAGACAAGCAGAAGTTTGCTGTAGAAGATGACTGCAGTGGGGTGCATCCAGGTCTCCATCCAATGCTGTCTCTCTGGGAGCTGGTTCCCCACTTGGAAAATGAGACTGGACTTGCTGGGTCCACCCAGGAACATTGTGACATGACACTGAAGAGATCAAATTCCTGGTCTTATGTATGAGCACGCTGCCCTTGGCTGCCTTCCTCTCATGCTGCAGCCCTTCTCTCTGTCATCAACAGTTTTCTTGCTGATCTGAGGTATAGAGAATTTTTGTGTGCCAGAAGAAATGGCTGAAGCAAAGTTAAAATCAGTTTCTGAGTTATTGACATTAATAGTGAGTTTAGTCACTGCTGTAGCAAAGTATTTCAAGGGTGCGGACTCCAAAAATTCACAAGGGGATGAGGTTTGTGAGGCTGTGGTGCTGCCCAGCCCCACTTTATGGCATGTCAGGTATTTGCCAGCCGTTCCTTGCTCCTGGCCTGCTGCATAAAGATTCTTCTGTCTTTGGCTGGAAATTTTTCCATCGTGTGTGTTTGCAGTTGCCCACGAGGCTTCCCTTAGCTCTCCATTCCTGCCCTGCTTTCTGGCATGCTTTTAGTGAGCAAATATCACCTGCAAAAGCTAAATCCCTCTGCCTGCAGCCCACATCTGCCTCTGCTGGGCTTGGGGCTGGTGGGAGGTATGGCAGGGAGAGCAAAGGGTCCTGCACTCCCCAAGAGTCTCATTCCTGGGAATTACTGCTCCTGGCTTGCCTGGGAGAAAAGAGAGGAGACAATTTGGATTAGATGAGGCAAGGGTTTGCTGCAACACTTGCTGGTTAATGCTGTTCATTGAGAAGATGCTTGAAAACAAAAGGGATATGTCCAGAAGTGCTGGCTGGTGCCATGCCTGAGGCTCTCCTTCCCTGATTTGCATGGCAGGTGGGATCACTTTCCTCCCAGAAGCATGTGTGGAAGACCAGGAAAAAGAAGGGCAAGCTCCGGGCTGATTAAAAAACTGTATCTCAGGTGGGCACATGTCAGACAGCCTTTGCTAGTTGAGGATGCTTGTCAGAGTATCCCCTGGCCACAGTGGAAGATGTTGCCTCTGATCCATTGTTTCCTGATTGCTGTAGACAGTGTTTTCTGGCACCAGCTCTGATGAAAGGATCTTTCCTCCTTGAGTTTCAGCTGGGAAGGAAAGCAATGGAAATCTCTTTTCTTTCATGAGTGCTGAATGTGTGGCAGCTGATAAGCCTTACAGGAGCTGTGGGTTAATCTTGCTGTAAAGGCTCTCTTCCTTATCCACCCAGACCCCCTCTCTGGAGGTCCTCGTGTGGAAATGCCCTGACAAAGCAGCTGAGCACAGCCCTTTGTAGGGATTGTCTCACTGATCAGATGTTTAAAGTGTGGCTTTACAATAATTTTATATATATGTGTATATATATATAAAGAGAAGAAAAGAGCTTTAAAATGTTGGCACTTACATATTCATATTGGAATAACAGGAAGATCGAGCAGCTGAAATATGGAAGTAGAAAGCAGTAGGCAGAAGTGGACACATCACTTTCCTGCCTTTCCCTCTTGTGTGGGAGCAGAGAGAGCCCAGTGGCTCTCAGGAGTGTCATGAGGACTCGGAAATGCTTGGAAAACTTCCAAGGTCTTTTCAAAAGAAGGTGTTGGGACAGTGCCAAGCACAGCTCTCTCTGTTCAGTGCTTTAACATCATGGGGGAGTTGCTGCTTCGAACCTTCCTCTTGCTGGACGACTCAGACTCTGGGCTTAAATGTCCTGCAGCTCCCAGCACAATTGCTTAGAAAATAAGCAAATATCTGCATTTTCCGTGATGCTTAAGAAGTTCCTGCTGGTGTGTGCTCCTTCAGCATTCAGGCAGAAGCCAGTCCTAACTTAAGGCAAGGGCTCCTGCCCTGGGACTTCTGTTCCTGGCCATTCCCGCTCAGCTACCCTCTTCAGAGGTTTCAGAACCTCACAGCATCCTGGAGGGACATCTTTTTTCAGGGGATATAGGAATTACTTTCTCAGGATCCTTGTTTCTGGTTCCCTGTTCACCAGTTCTGCCTGTCAAGCAATACTGCATTGAGCTAAACCTTCCTGAACTGTCTTTAAACCATCTATCTCACCATCTTGTCCACCTACCTGCTGCATTGCGCAACAGCCCTATTTACAGGCTGCTGAGACACTGTGAATCTTGGCATTAATGCTCCTTGGTTCCATTTTAAGAAACAACAGTCCTGTTGTGAAATGTGGGAAGCAACCCACACCAGAAAGCCAAGCACATTTGCACTTCTTCCTGGTGGGAAATGCACAGTTTGGCTGAGGTTCTAAGATAGCGCACATGAGATAACTTTGTATGATCTTGTCACTAATAGGTACTAAATTTTCCCCTGAAAGGTGAACTGACACCTTGTAAGCTGAGGATCTATACAATACTTGGCAAAAGTAGCCTTTACTGATGAAGGAAAGAAGGATGAGAGAGGAGTTCATGACCTAGGTCTCTAGTTGGGGTCTTCAGCGTCTCTGCTGCAGCTCTGCCAGGGCTTTCTCTATTGGAGCTGGATGTGCCCAGCACATGGCTCTCGAGGTCAGTCTCATGATCAAGCAGGGCTGAAAGGAGGAAATCTCAGCTTGAGTTTGAGTCATGACCTGCTGTGGGTGGAGCAACAGACTTCACTCATAAGAAAGAACTATCAATATATTTATTGATATAAAACAGCGATTTGACAAAGTTTAATAATAAATACTAAGCTCACAGAAATGAGATTTAGATATTAGAAAGAAGTTCTGCCTTGTGAGGGTGCTGAGGGCCTGGCACAGGTTGCCCAGAGAAGCTGTGGCTGCCCCATCCCTGGCAGTGTTCAAGGCCAGGCTGGATGGGGCTTGGAGCAACCTGGTCTAGTGGAAGATGTCCCTGCCCGTGGCAGGGGGTTGGAACTGAATGAGCTTTAAGGTCCCTTCCAACCCAAACCACTCTGATTCTATGAAATCCAACAGTGATTTAACAAGATTGAATGGCAAGGAACCTTTGAGTGTTTACTACATGGAGACCCTCCCATTGAGTCATGAGGTTCAGAAGTGACCCTCTTGCTTTCTAAACTCCTTCTGAGAAAGGAGTGTAGGTGTTCAGATTTCATCTCAGTCTTGGTCAGTGGTTTATGTCTAGAGGATTATATATGCACAAACTTTTACATCGCGTAAGGTTTCAGTGTGTAGTATGTTGTTAGTCACTTACCGATAATCTGTTGTGGCAAAGAATCTTTCAACCTCAAGGAGTAACCTTTTCCAGGGGAGACCGTGGCATGCAGCCAGGTGCTGTGTAGGAGAGCTCCATGGGCCCTGGGCTGCCTACTAGTTACAGGGCAAGATAATTGATTCATAGTCATGTTTGCATCCCAGCTGCAGAAGTTAGTTGTTTGTTTTGCAAACTTGGCTCCAGTCAGCCCTTGACCAGTGGTTAGGGGGCCAAGTTGCACAGCACATTGGCTATCATGCTGTTACCTGTCTCCCTGAATCCACTTTGAGTCAGGTGCAGCCATCACAAGCAGACCAGCACTGGTGGTTATCACTTGAGCAGAGCTACAGGAAATAAAGATTGGGTTGTAGGGGTGGAAGAAGCACACCACCACATGGCCCCAGGCAGTTTGTCACAGTCTCTCCTCCTTCTCCCAGGTAGGGTTAGGAACCCCAGCCTACCCAGTAGGGTAGGAACCCCAGCCGTGCTGCTTTCTCCTGGGTTTTGTGCAAGTGTTGGGGTGCCTGGCCCACAGCATTCCCTAGATCCGAGTTGTGCCTTGCTCAGGTACTTGTGTTGTGCCAGGGAGTGTTATTGCCACAGTAATGGAGACACTGAAAACCAAAGGCTTTCACCCCCCCAAGAAGGGAGGGCAAAGAAATTGCTCATAGCAGGGTCCTTGGGGCAGCCTGTAGCAGTTCCAGGATGCTTGAACTCCAAATCTCAGTGGTGATGTTTTGTTAATCTCCTGGTGAAATGCAGGAGGACAAATGTGTACACCACTGTGTATGTAAGTAACAGACCTGCCTGTGTCATCCCCTGCACAAGACTCACTGAAGCATTGACTTTATTAGCGCATTTAGATAAGGCTTGATAAAAATTGGCTGTTGATCGCTTGGTTCTGTTTACACCATTTCTTCAAAGCTGTTTGCTCTGCAACATGATGTTTTCTTCTCTCGAGGGAGTCAGTCTGACAGCTGCCAAAGAACGGGGACAGCTTGTCTTCTTGGAAGGCCTCAAGTCCTGCCTTGACCTCTGGTTTGGAGAGCAGGGGGAGCAGTCGGGACAGCCCAGTCCTCTTCAGTTTATAAGGTAAACCTGACCAATTGGACCAGGCTCTTTTTGGGCTTCCATCTGAGGCCCAAGGACCTGTTTGCTGCACACTCAAGTAAAGGGAAATGCCATCACCATGCACATTGCTGTGCTTGCCTGGCCCTGCCTCTCTCTGCTGCTCGAAGAGGGATTCTGTCCCCTTTCTCCAGCATTTTAGAGCGATTTCGATCCCTATCCCCATTGCCAAGCATGTTTTAGGTCTAGAGAAAATCTATTTCAGCACTAAACAGGTTTGTGTCAAATAAAAGTCCAAGAAGCTTTATTCCTTTTTTAATTGTGTTGAGTTATATTCTCATCCAGAAGAACAGTGCTGCTTTAATCATGCTGGCTTTAATTTTTATTTCCACTTCACTTTCTCCACCCGCTTCACTTTTTCCATGTCCCTGATGATTTGATAGAAAAATATCCACTGAGGGCTGTTAAATTGACAAATACCAGCTTCGGGGCAAGGACTGCCATGTACTTGGTGTGTCCATGGATGCTTCTGGCCCTCTGCTGTTTCAAACTCATGCTGGGGTGGATGGGCTTTTAGTGAGAGTGAGGGCAGGCACGGAAACCCTGTAGACCCTGTACTGTGGGACCATGTAGCCCTTTGGGTCTGGGAGAGTGAGGCTTGCTGGAGTGTGGCAGGATCAAGCTCAGGACAAGCTTGAGAAATGGGCCCATGAGAACCTCTTGGTGTTCAACAAGGCTAAGTGCAAGGTCCTGCACCTGGGTCAGGGCAACCCCCGCTATCAGTAGAGGCTGGGTGATGAAGGGATTGAGAGTAGTCCTGGTGAGGACTTGGGGGTGTTGGCTGATGAGAAGTTCCCCATGACCCGGCAGTGTGCACTTGCAGGCCAGAAACCAACCGTGTCCTGGGCTGCATCACCAGCAGCATGACCAGCAGGTTGAGAGAGGGGATCTTCCCTCTCTGCTCTGCTCTGGTGAGACAGACCCCCCCCTGCAGTGCTGCATCCAGCTCTGGGGCCCTGACATAAGGATGTGGAGCTGTTGGAGCAAGTCCAGAGGAAGCCACAAAGATGCTCCAAGGGCTGGAGCACCTCTGCTATGGAGACAGGATGAGAGCTGGGCCTGTTCAATCTGGAGAAGGCTCCTCTCTCTAGGGGAGACCTTAGAGCAGCTTCCAGTTCCTAAAGGGACCAACAAGAAAGCTGGAGAGGGGCTTTTGACAAGGGCAGGTAGGGACAGGACAAGGGGGAGTGGCTTTAAACTGACAGAGGGGAGATTGAGATGAGGTTTTAGGAAGAAGTTCTTTCCTGTGAGGGAAGATGTTGGTTCCAGTGGCTGAGGGGGACATGCAGTGCATGTGTGGGCCACACCCTTTGAAACCTCCTTCTTCTCTTCCAGCAAGAGCACTTCTGACCTCAAAGCCTTGTTTGACTTCGTCCAGGTGTCCCTGACTCCTGCCAGCAGTGACTCCTGGAAGGGCCCCGTGCTGCTGGTGGATGACCTCAGTGTCCTGCTCAGCCTGGGTGCCACGCCGGTGGCCGTGCTGGACTTCATCCACTACTGCAGAGTTGTGGTGTGCTCCCAGCTGAAGGTACTGCTCCCTCTGCACGCAGTGTCCTGTATGCTGTGCGTACGGAAGAGCCTCTGGAGCACAGCTTGGCTTTTTTTCTTTCTCCACCTCTGCATGATGAGGTTTTGAAAGGCTTTGGCCATCCAAGAAATTGCAATTATTGCTCTAGGGCCACTCACCGGGAGTTGTTAGCCCCTGAAGTACCTGTGTAGGGTCCTTTAAAACTGGTTTCCCAGGAGTTGCTGCCTAGAGAAGAGCTGTGCCTGATGTGTGAGCAGGGATTTGAGGTGCAAAATAGTGTTTATTATAGCTCCTGACTCTCTAGAGATCTCTGCTCACACCTGTGTTTGTGCACATGTGGGAGAGCAGGGAAGGAAATGGGTTACAAAGGTAGCGAGAGGCTGATGAGTCTCCCAAGGGACAGAAATGAAGGTCCACTCAGAAGGCACCTGGGTATTTGCTTCCACCAGTCTTCACTGTTGCTGAGTGTTGCACTGGCTGGTTTCTAAGGGCATATGAACAATGCAGCACTTCTACAAAGCTCTCCTGAGCTATGTGCTAACTTCAGAGAGCATTGCAGCCAAAAATCTTTACAGTCACATCCATCCGTTGCTATTTATGTTGCAGCATCCCCCACCCTGGCCACTTCTCTCTCTGCTTGAGTGAGAAATAAAGTATATGGTGTCAGGTTTTGTTCTTCTGCACTTCATATGGTGCCAGGGTGTTTGTGCTGTAAATGCTGACAAGGGATGTTCTGCTTGCTGAGAATATTTACCTCCAAAACAGCTAAAAACGATGATAAATCACACTAACACATTTCTGTTTCTGTCTAAGAAAGTTCTGAAGCTTCAAAGTACATTATAATTGACTGGGAATTTCATGTTATTTTAAGTCTTTGGTGACCTGCATGGGCTGAGGCAGAGACTCTTGGGATGTATTTTTAATAGAGTTGGTGGTTCTTTGGGGGGTGCATTTTGCTTCTTGTGAGAGCTGTGAAGCTTTGAGCATTACAGCTCTGGCTGCATCCATTCAGCCATGTCTCTATGTAGCTGTTCTGAATTCATTCAGTTGCCATTAGTGTGGCCTGATGGACTGGTTTAACTAGACAGCTATCTCGTAACAAAGGCTTGATGTATTTTTAGGCTGCATGTTATATATATATATATATATATATACACACAGTATAAGGATAGCAACCTGTTTCAGAGTTTTATATATGTATCTGCTGTTTATATTCTCTGTGGACTTAGCTCAGAACCAGCTGCTGTGCTGGGGATGTCTAAGTAGCTTAGCATGGCATTTCACAAGCTCTCATTGCTGTCTCCTCTTCCTTACCCTGATTAGGGATTAGGAATCAGCCAGGGGCTCATCTCTGCCTGGTGCTCTCATTCCAGGGCAACGTTGTGGTGCTGGTTCACAGCAATGAGGATTCTGAAGATGAGGAAAATGAACTGGTTGTGAACTCCCTGTGTCATCACAGTGACCTGATCCTGTGGGTAGAGGGGCTGGCGACCGGCTTCTGCAAGGATGTTCACGGGCAGGTAATGCATTGGAGAGCATGGAGAGGTGGCACATGGTAATGTCACATAAAACACTGCCTGCAGGCCCAAGGGTGGGTGAGACATGTTCTTTCTGCCTCACGGGAGACAGTCCATGCTGCAGCGTGGTTAAGGACTAACAAGCAGCCTTGTTGCAGTGACTAGGATGTGCTGGAGCAGCTGGGCTCTTTTGGTTGGGACTGCTCCCACAGGGGTAGTCAGAGACATCCTGCCACCTGGGGACTCCCCCATCTGTGGAGGCTGGAAGGAGTTTATATGGCAGCTGCAGTGCAGGCTGTATCGCACCCCATGGTGATGGCAAAGAAGAATACCCATTCCCTGGGAAGCTGCCTCAAACTGTCATAGAATCACAGAATGGGTTGGGTTGGAAGGGACCTTAAAGCTCATCCAGTTCTGACTAGACACAAGGCTATTGTGTCAGTGGATCTCAGCCTGGCCTGTAGTGATTGCTTCTGGGCTGGGAGGGCAGCTGGGTCACTGGGGCCTTGTTACTCTATTTCTCTAGTCAGGGGCTGCCAGAAAGGGACTGGTTACAGGCAGGTGTGACAGGTTTTTAATCAGTAATCGTTCTGATTTCCCTTCCCTGCAGGCCAGCAAGAGGCATTGGGGGGTGAGGGTGCTGTGACTGGGGTAGTCAAAGGGATGATATTCCTATTCCTTTCCCTTTGCAGATTAAAATAACTAGGAGAGTGTCCTTGGAGCTGACGGGGGAGCAGGATGTTGTCCAGATCTACCAGTACAAGATCCAGGACAAGAACGTCACTTTTTTTGCTAGAGGGCTGTCAGCTGCAGTCCTGTGATGCTGCGATACAGCACAGTGCTGCAAAAGCAATGCGGAGCAAGGCTGGGGAGGCCAGTACATGCCACCAAACCAGCCCGGCTGCTCCACCAGCACCTTCCAGGAGCAGTGCAGCAAACTGACCCAGGAGGGAAGCTTAAACGTGTGTTAAACTGCATGCCAACGAGGGGATTAGCCTGCCCAGAGCTTGCTGCAATCCCTTTGTCCTCCCACCCTGTTCCCAACATATGTAGGCCAAGAAAAGTGCACATACTTGCCAGAATGGCCCTTACAGCGTGTAAATACAAGCAGGAGGGATGCCCCTTGGGCTGGGCGTGCCTCACCTTTTCCGGTGTGTTATGGCATGGCAGTGCCAGGCACCGCTGCTTGGAGGGATCACCCCACCCTCCAGCTGGCGTTTAATGAGATGACACAGAGAGGGTGGAGACAGGGATGGTCTGGGAATGTGTTGCAATTCTTACCTTTCTCCCAGCTCTGGCACAGGAGAAAGATTTGCTCAACTCGCATCTTCCACAGCATTGACTGAAAAAATCAATAGCTGTGTGTACAGCCCCTCACCTTGCTGTGGTGAGACCCAGACCTTGCTTGGTTGATCCCTTGCTTTGTTAAGTTACTTCCCTCTTTTCACGTGAAACTCCCATGCCATGTTGTCCCATCCCTGGCAGTGTTCAAGGCCAGGTTGGACAGAGCTTGGAGCAACCTGGTCTAGTGGAAGGTGACCCTGCCTGTGGCAGGGGGTTGGAACTGGATGGGCTTTAAGGTCCTTTCCATCCCAAACCGTTCTATGAGTCTATGTGTGTCAGCTTATCATGCAGCTTCCCAAGCTCATCTTTGGCTTTAGGTGATGGATGGACACTTGTACATGAGCCTCTATCTCAGCCACTGCTTCCATGGCACAAATCGTGACTAGCAGGTCTATGACCTGCCTGTAGTGAAGCATTACTGGGGGCTAATAAACATCGTAGATAAAGGGTACAGTCATCATGTAATTAGAAATCACTGCATGGGAAATGCTACCCGCAGGCTCCTTGGCAGGGGAGAGGAATGGGCATCTGAACACAGGTGAGGAGATAGATTTGGATCCCTGGAGCAGAGCTCAGACCTGGAGGTCTCCTTGTAGATGCTCTGGTTGTAGTGGAAGATAATATCCTGCACGCTGGTGATATATGAGGGTGACCTACCAGGTCCTTTGCAGCTGCAGAGCCTGGGTAACAACTCTGCATATGGGACATGTTCCTGCTGTTTTCAACCACCTGCCAATGGTGCCTGGCCTTGCCATAATACCGCTCCCAGTGGGTTCAAAGCCCTGCATCCTGCCCTGGCAGAAGCAAGCTGGTGGCTTGGCCTCCTCCCGAGTCACACCAACCCTCAGGCTGATGCCTGCTGTGCCTTGCTGAAGTAAAACGTGTTTCTTGGCTGCCTGTTGTGGGAGAGCGGCAGAGCCCAGCATTGACGTTGCCAGCTCAACATGGTGGCAGAGCCAGGGGGACAATGCATGGTCACCATCTGCAAAGGGAGGATGGGACAACTTTGGGGATGGGAGCTGCAGGCACTACAGCTGCTTAAAATGCACCTGTAATGGGCATATAATGGTGTGTAATTGAAGCAATACCTGTATGATTAGCTTCCCCTTGGAGAGATCCCAAACCATCCCTGCTCCAAGCTTTGCTGAGCCACCCGGTGAGGCCATGACCCAACCAAGACCTTGCTCTGAAGCTGAAGCTGTGGGAAGAGATGTGATTGATGGCAGAACAGGGTGGCCTTGGCAGGGTCAGCCAACATCTGTGTGCTTGGGGCCACAGCTCTTTGTTTGCCGTCCAGAGGTTGTGTAATGCTCCATTCCAACCGATAGAGCAGGTGGGACTTGGACCAAGCTCTCTGGTCTTCTTTCCCTCAGCCTTGGTGGGAGCAGCTGGGGCCTTGTCCAGGCAGCAAAGCTGGGAAAGGCCTACCAGGGCTGGTACTGGTGGGATGGGATGCAGGCCCTTGGGAGGGGGCTTGATGCGATGGTATCAGGCAGGGCTGCCAGCAGCAGAGACTGTTGAAAAGCACTGGAGCCTGACAGCTGCAAGACAGGCCTTGTAAAAGCTGGGATTGTGGAGGATGCTCACTCAGCCCCTGGAGACAAATGCGCAGGGGCTGCCTTTCCCCTGTCCCATTTCTGCTCCTTTCCTGCTTCTCACTCATTTCCAGCTATGACCTGTCCTCTCAGGGCCACTCTCTTCTCTGGGACCACCTCTTTCCTCACAGGGATTCCCCCAGGATTTCAGAAGTGATGTTTGGCAGCCAGGAGCTGTGCTGAGGGGTGATGGTAGTCCTGGCAGCACTGGCATGGGCCTGGCTGGCTGTTGGGCAGTGGCAGCTTGGCTGCCATCCTCTGTCCCTCTCTGGCTCTACCAGCACTGGAGCTGCCGGGTCCTTTGCTGCAATCTCATCCTGCCCATGGCTTCCTCCTCACGTGGGGAAAAGAAGCCAGTGACTCTGCTCTGGTGCTATGGGGAAAGCCCTGTCCCTGTGGGCACCTGGTGCCGCACTGTGTGGTATCCACACCATGCCAGGGCTGAGCTGGTAGGACCAGTGTGGGCATTCATAGGACAAAAAGAAAAGATTGCCTGGCCTTTGGGTACCACCTTTCCCTTATCCTGCTGCTTTTGCTCTCCTTTGAGGGCAGCAGCCCTCTGACCCACCCCAAGCCATGTGTTCCCAGCGTCTGGCCCATTCCTATTCCACACAGCTCCAGGTGCTGGAGTCCCCTCCGTCCCCTGCACTGAGCCACAGGGCTCCCAGTACAACGTCCTCCCTCCAGGTCCGCTCTACCCGCGATGCCCCGGGTCTCCTGGTGCCCAATCCTCCCTTTCAGTCGCTACATCCACTCTGTGCTTCAGGGCTCCTACGCATGCCCCTGCGCCCCAGCCCCGCCATTGCCCGGTGTGCGCGTCCACTCTCCGCTCTTAACTCCTTGTCAGCCGGGTCGCGGTCAGCCCCTCTCCCACGATCCTCCCTGTGCACCAGGACGCCGTGACCCCAGCTCCCGCTCTGTCCCCTCTTCCCTCCAACCCCGCTCCACGTGCTCCCGCTGCCACCTCGCCGCTTCTGCCCCCCCACATGACCGCTGGTGCGCCCGCCCCGCTGGGGGGCGTGGCCAGGGGTCAGAAGGGGCGTGTCCAAAGCGGCAGAGGAGAGGGCTGTCTGTCGGGGGCGTGGCTAGGGGAGGAGGCGTGGCTAGAGGAGGCGGGGGGTTTGGCCTACGTTCTGCCCGTACGTTCGCGCGTAGGGCCCGGCGGCGGCACTGGGGGGAGGGCGGGAGGGGGTGGGAGAACCGGACCGGGAGCGATCGGCCGAGCGGAAAGGTTTAGGGTTAGGAAGAAGGGGTTTAAAATAAACCGAAACCCGGGTTAAATCAGAAAGAAAAATAAGGAAAAAGAAAATAACCAACAAAACGGATTGAGCGGCCGCGAGGAGGTCAAAGGTCGGAGGTGAGGAGGAACCACCGGTGCGGTGAGCGGCACCGGCGAACGTGATCGGTCCCCGCTGGACACCGAAATACCCTTCCCCGCTTCTCCTCTGCCCACCGCCGTCAGCTCGGCTCCCGCCGGGCCCGGGCGCGCGCCTTCCCCTGGGGCGGCGCGCGCGTGGGTGAGGGGAGAGCGCGCGCCGCCGCGTCTTTCCCCTTCCCCCCAATTCCCCATCCTTTTCCCCCTTTTAACGTCCGTTAACGATCGCCGGCATCCCCCCCCCCCCCTTCCTCCTTAGGTAACCGCGGCCTTCAGGCCTCTCCCCGGCGGGAAGCCCGAGGGGAGGCCCCTCAGGCGGGAATGGGGGCTCCCCTCCCCTCGTGGGTGTTTTCTGTGTGGAATTCGGGGTGCGCAGAGGGGGCTGGTGGGTGAGGAGGGGGCCGCTGGGTCCCTGTTTTCCCCCCCTAACCTGTGGTGCTTCAGGTGCCGGTTGGGTTTGGCTGTGGAGGGTGATGAGTGTTTTGGCTGCGGGGGGTGGTGAGTTTCTTCTTTGCGGTTGCGTTTTGTTCTATAAATGTGTTTTCTAACAGCGATAATCGAGTGAGGGTGCTGGCAGAAAGAGCAAATACCGATTTTTGTCTTCAGCAAAGATGAAGGTGCTGTCCCGAGATAAGCAGATGAAGTGATTCTCTTCCCCGCTTGGCGCCTGAGGAGGAAGAAGCAAGTGGAGGTGGTGGGAAGGGAAGGAGGGTTGGGGTTGGGTGCTTGTGCATGGGAGCTTCTAAGGGTCACGGCTGCTCTGCCTGCCGGGTGGTTCCCGAGGAATCGGGATCAAGGTAGAGTGTTTACTACTTAGGAAAGTGGGAGTCATTAGGCTGAGGTATTGGTGGGCTGGAGGAGAGCAGGGAAGAGGGGGAAAGTGGGAGGCAGTGTGCTTGAAAGGGATGTAGAAAGTTTTGGTGGGGCTGGTGGGATGGGACTGAACCAGTGAAGGAGGTGAATGAAGGAAAGAATGAATCACCTGGTGCAGAATCAGGAGAAAACCCTTCGTAGAAAAGAAGGGAGAAAAATGACTTGAGTATGTGAAAGGGATGACTGAAACGTGGAGGAAAATACTGTGCCAGGTTTGTGTGGAGCGCTGGTAGATTGTGACCAACCTCTTTAGAACCAGGACTGCTCTGCTGCTTTGGTTTTGCAGTGACAGTGAGGTGCTGCAAGTACCTGTCGCTCTGCTGATCACCCTGCTCTGTGGAGTTGAGTTGATATTTAGGTGTCAGCTTCCTTGCATGAAACCAAATGAGCATCTCAAGATTATTTTCTGATACACTGAGCAAGGAGCTGTTTGAATCCCGAAGTGGTGCAGTTGTAGGTTTGTTTGGGAGAATCCTGAGGGAAGAGCTGCTGCCTAGTGCCAAAATTTCCTCACTGCAATGTCCGCTTATTTTCCTAGGGTTGTTGAAAGGCAAATTAAGCTTCCTTTCATGAAAAGGGCAAAGATGAGGCATGATCTCACTCTTTGTGAAGCCCAGAACTGTTATGACAATGTGCTAGTGTGATAAATTTAGGATTACACGAGCTGTTGTGTAATGCAGAAGGGAGATTACCTGGCTCCAATTCAGGAGGAAGGAAACCACCCTGGGATTTTCATTGAATGTGTGACACACTGAGAGCTGTGCTGTTGGCCCCCGAGTCCTTCCACGAGAACAGTTCCTCTTGGCATTTCCAGTTACAAAGCTTAACTCGCTGCAGTGCCACTTATTGGTCTGAATATGATTCCAGAGCAAAGAGGAATCAGGTTTTGTCTCGGGAGCATTAAAATAGTTTTTTAAGTGTCAGAATCTCAGAGATGTGTGAAATATCAAGTGCTCTCTGCATTCAGCTGTTGAGGTCCTCAATGTTACTTCCATTCAGGGGGTTGCTAGGTCTGGCAGTTGTCAGAATTCGTATTCCTATGCACAGAAAAGTTCTGTTTTGTTTTGTTTTCCTCTCTCTGATGAGCAGAACTTAAAAAATAGAATAAGTACAGTTTGACACACATATAGTTTTACCTGTGTATAGTGGAACACAATAGGTAACAAGTGGAAGGGGAAGCAGTACAGCAGTTTCAGCAGATCTTTTACAAGAGCATGTAGGGACAGGACAAGGGGGAATGGTTTTATACTGGCAGAGGGGAGATTTAGATGAGATGTGAGGAAGAAGTTCTTCCCTGTGAGGGTGGTGAGGCCCTGGCACAGGTTGCCCAGAGAAGCTGTGGCTGCCCCATATCTGGCAGTGTTCAAGGCCAGGTTGGACGGGGATTGGAGCAACCTGGTCTAGTGGAAGGTGTTCTTGCCTATGGCAAGGGGCTGGAACTGGATGAGCTTTAAGGCCTCTTCCAACCCAAACCATTCAAGGATTCTATGATCTTTTGACCTGGGCATCTTTTTTGTTCTCACTGTAACTGACATTGTATGCTGTGCTCGTGGAACTGA